TTTATTTGTTTTGTTCACAATGTCATTCATGTGGATGGATACTAAGAGAGGTAGGCTAATAAATAGTATGTGTGTTGGTGTTTGTGAAAACTTTTGCTACAAGCCGAGAACACCATTGTTATCTATAAGCACAGACAATATAATACTTTAAAAAAAGTATAGAGGATGTTGGTTTGGTTCGTATATATGTTTGGCAATGATAACTCAGACACCAAAACATGGTACATACATGCAGAGTTTCGTGAAATAGGTTTATACACCAATTTCGTGATAGCTTTCTGGGCTTAGTCCTGGGACCGTCTTTCAAAGTATGTCAGGGATTTTGATAGACTATTTAAATACCCTCCTTCCCGCAGCAAACCTGCAGACTAAGCGAATTTCCATTTACCTGGCTGGATTTCTACTAAAATATTCCCTAAAAATTGTCAGATTTATTTCCTACTAGCAGAGTACCCGTCCTTCGTACGGGGTTGGAATATAAGTATAAAATGCTTATTGCAGTTATACTTAAGCTTTGCGATTGCAATGGGTGGAGGACACAGTTTGATAAAATTTGCTTTTTTAAATTTACAGTATTCTATAGTATTACACATCTACCATAGCCATAATGTTCTACCATTTCACCAAACAATAGAGAAAAATAAATTATCAATTCGCAAAATATCACAAATTATTCATGAAATGAAAAACATAAACATAACTGTAAACAATCCTACTTTGACAGTTCTCATTGCGAATCACAGTTTTTTGTTGCTGCTTAGTTCAAATTAGCTGTTTTCATAAATGCAAAAAAAAATATAGTGCTGCACCCTGTTGGTAAATCTTATAACTTTTTAATGCTTTTCCATATCATAGAACCAACTTTTTTAGTTGAAACAGCTAACTAAATTCTTTAATTCCCTTTAAATATGAATACTTATAAGGTTAACATGGGGAATTACAGAGCCACTGGGGCGGAGCCCGAAAGGATTTTTGAGATAAGAATATGCCTATATGTTAATCGGGAATGTAAGCTATCATCATGCCAAATTTCAACCCAATCCGTCCAGTGGTTTATGCGTGATTGAACTTCAAACAAACAAACAAACAAACAAACACACAAACTTTCACATTTATAATATTAGTAAGATTTAAATAATATTAATTTTAATGAGTACCTAGGTTTGTTGCTACAGGGAAGGTATTGAGGTGTGTTTTTTATTTAAGTTTTTATAGCTTTATGAAATAAACAAAATTGCCAAATTTGATTCTAACACAGTATGTCCATAAACAAGCAAACTACAACAGTTTATTAATTCTCCATAAGAATAACATGGGAATTTAAAATTTAAAGTTTTTTTACTGCCTCCGTAATTGTTAGGCATACAAAAACGCTTCTATATACAAAATTATTTATTTTTTAAGCTCTAAAAAATGGTCTGGAAAGAAATTGAAAAATTTTATAATAAAACCAATTTTCACGCCATAAAACCCCCCATAAACAAACCCCCGTTCCCATAGTCCGATCATGCTAGTTCGCGAACTCGTTAGAATAAAGGTAGGTGTACACGTGTGTACCAAATTTTTATAAAAATCGGATCATTTTCGCTCGAGTTATCGCACTAACGGTCACATAATATATATGAATTTGAACGGAGGGTGTTTTTGGCCTCTGGGGACCACAAAATGAAAAAGTAATTCGGTCCCGGGTCTAAGTCTTACCATGACACCTACGATAATAGCTTATTCCCTATAGGGGAAATTCGCTAAAAAAACCAAAGAATATTATTGACAACTGTTAAAAAAAAACCAACAAGTTGGGTTCTATGATGTTCAATAGAATTCAAGGTTACAAGGATTACTAACAGATTGCAGCACTATTAATTTTTTGTTTTCCCTTTTGCAAAGCATGGGGTACAGCAGCTAGACCGAATAAAACCCGCAACTTCATAAGAACATTGCAAATTTCATACTCTAAATCTTTTTTTAGTGCTTGCCAACCCAAAGTAAAATAGTTATAGTTTTTGTTGAAAATTTTTCTACTCACCCGATTCCCAACAGATTTTTATCAAAAAATATAAAATCATGACAGCTGATGTCATGTTTTAATATTTGCTCATGTAAAAGCAAACTTTTATATCTATTTATCTTTGTAACATCTAGCTATGTAAGCTTGGATTTAATCCTTAATAAATGTTACTGCAATGAGATAGAACAGTAGTAACTTGGTTAAAAACATAATGATTTTGTTCCAGAGAGAGTAGTTCTAAGTGTTTAGTAGAAAGGCAGGTGATTAGTCTTTACTATAAGAATTTATTTAATCCTTAATAACTGTTAATACGGAAAAATGATGTTAAAGGTCAAGTTAGCCTGTAGTGAAGTCACAACTTCAGCCGGTTCATAATAAAACCCAAAAGTATGTCGGGTGAATGGTATCAGGAAAGCTTCCGCTAACATGCAATCAACAAATATGGTCCAGGAATTGATTATTGATTGATTGATACCTTGAGTGTTGGCGTAATTATCTTGGACAATCACTTGGTAAAAAACTGCTCTCAGAACCTAGCACCCTCATCACTTTTCACTGGCTGCGGAAGCTCGGGGAGAGATTGCAGGACTAGCAGGTACTTGCTCTTATCACTGGACACGGCCATTTCAGGAAACATGTCCACAGGGCCGATTTACCGAATAGGCACAGTAGGCACAATTTGCTTATTTGGGGGGCGCCAAAAATTTGGAAAATGAAAAAATTGGTGGTTGTATTTGCATGCGATCGCGGTAAACTTCTGATAATCCCTTGAGGCCGTTTAGACATCATAATCGTATCCCGTGTTTGAAGCAAGATTCTTACTATTTTCCGCGGTCGGCTCATTTAGACATAATTATCGTCTTTCATGATCGAGGCAATATATGAACATATTCCGATGATTATGCCCAGACACAATTCACGTTCGCGTTTGCTCTTCTCCCCCCACTTCTCTAGATCGAACCTTGGAATGTGTTCGCCGCTCAACTCAATGGTTAGGCTGTTCAACACAATTAATAACGACCAAATAGACATATTTTTTAACTGTCACAGTACGTTCAGGAAATACGTTTTTAGATATTTAATTGCTCCAAATAATTATTGTTATTAAATTAATTACTCTGTTCAGACTTTGTTGTTGTATTTTATTTATTTAATTCGTTATTGTTGTTATAGATATTTAAATAATTGCCAATGTTATTTTTTAAGATATTTATTTGTACGTTATTTATTGATATTTATTCGTTTTTGTCATATATTGTATTGTTGTGAGTGATTACACTAATAATTATAATTTCTTCAGCAAGATGAACTTTTACCATATTTATTATTTATAATGCATGTCAAGATTTTGTTCGAATATTAATGCTACAATGTAACTGGGTTTATCCTGTTTTGCAGCATTGTAATAAAAGAAATAAATAAATAATCATCTTCTACCGCGATTCTGATCTTTTCCCGCGGTCATGTGGACATTATCATCGTCTTGCGCGATCATAATTCTGATCATCCCGCGCGGCCGTGTAGAAATCATTATTGTATCTTCTGTGGTCGTGAATACATGGTAATCGTCTCCCGCGATTGCGACAAAATGTTAATCATGTCCCGCAGTTGTCTGGAGATCATCATCGTCTTCTGCGATCGCGTCAAATTTCTTGCTGATTCCTGCGGTTGTGTGGACATTATCATCGTCTTCCGTGATCGTGGCAGTATTCTGATCATCCCTTGTGGCTCTGTAGATATCATCATTGCCTTCTGCGATCGCAGAAAATTTTGATTATCCCTCGCAGCCGTGTGTAGACATATTATCGTCTCCCGCGGTCACGGAAACGTCACTGTTGTCATGTGTGATCACGGTAAACTGAAAACTCCAGGTAGAAATACAAAATTCCCGGTTCAAAAAACTCTTGCTTGATTCCCGGTCGGTGGACACCCTGTTATATGTATTGCAAAGGGGCACTACTAATAGTTGTTTAGTTGTGCCTAGGGCGCTGACAGGGTCAAAAACGGGCATGCATCTCCACACTCTAGGAATTGTCGATGACAAGCAGGAGTGTCGACTTAGCAACCAGTCCGATGAGACTGCAAAACACATTATTCCGGACTACGACGGACTAGGGGTTAGGAGAAGGGCTCTGTTTGGTCTAAAGCAGCCAGGTGATTAACCAGACGCTAACATTGGGCAAAAGCTCCTGCACCTAGTCAAGGACACAGGCATAGGCTTACCCAGTTAGTGGCAAGTGGGATGCACAATAAGCTTCTGTTGACGTGCTTGGACGACGAGTCCTCCCCTCTCACAATCAATCAATCGGGCGAAGCAGAGGGGCAACAGCTAGTAATGTATAAATAACCAATGGCCATGGTCTTATTAATTAAATCATATTAAAATGATATTAATGTGTTTGTTTCCTTAAAATTCTTAAATGTACACATGTAAAAATTCACTGTATGCTCTTTATGTGTTTGAACATTTTTTTAGACACTAGCACATTCTGTGACTGGCTCAGACAACTACGTTCTTTTTTAATAATAAATTGGCGACAGCTGGTCCATATAGATGGGATTTGTACTTCAGTAGGTATCCTGTAGTCAATGAAAGTGAAAGTAGGCAGCATTAAAGATGTTGTTATAGCATTGACGTAGTGTGTCACTATGTGAAAAAAACATAGTTTACAATATTTTGTTTATTTGATTTATTTTATCCAAAGAAATTGGATGCTAGAACACACTCTCCTGCAAGAGTAACAATCAAAGGGGCTGCTACTAAACTCACACCAATTGAAATTTATATTTAAGCTCCAAATTCTGACATTTGTCGGAGCTCACTCAAACCCTGACGCCTGCTTGTAGATGTCCCACTTGGAACTTATTTTCTAAATCAACCCAGAACAACACCAAAACAAGCAGCATTCATTCATCAGAGAAGATCTAATTAACACGTCTCTGGCTGTGGGTCTCGGGGTCACACCTCACTGAATTTAGAACAACCAAAGGTTGTACAATTTATTGTTTGTTTATTAACACAAATGACTGTACATACATAAATATTTTGTAAAATAATACAAGACATACGATAGGAAACAAATCAATTGTATGTACAAATTACAGAAGCCAACAAAAACTGGAAACTTCAGGATCCTTCTTGGGAAACTGAAACAAACAGAGATATAGAGTCTTAGAAATTATTTAAACTCTAATAATTTAAGATAAATCTAAATCTGATAAAATATGATAAGATTTTGTATATTTAAATGCAAGTTTTCCAGGCTGCAAACATAACTTTTCTTATCTGAATACCTGATCTTACTAATTGTTTGATAATCATGTTTTCTTTTTAAAGCTACAAAACTTGGTGTAAAGTAAGTATAGACCAAAAACTTTCTAATGGACATGCGAGATGGTGGAACTTGACTAGCTTAGCCTTGTTCTACCTAATTTCTTTTAAACAATAATTTTGTTAAGGGATGGGATTGAGCCGGATTACTGGAGGGTTCGGATTATCGAGAGCAGAACTATCAAGGTTCGACTGTAAACGCTATTAAAACTTCCTGAAACAAAGAATCACCTTTATAAGCGTACTCCAATGCACAGTTGATGGTTTGCATGTCCTCCTCTATACTCTTGGCCCAGTTCTCTACGTCTCCTATCTCCTTGAGAGCGCTGCTGAATCCCTCCACCAGAGCGAGCCACTGTTGCGTCTGTTTGGCAAAGTTAGTCGCACTTTGATGCAACAGCTTTGCCTCTGCATCCAGCCGTTTCTGATTCAGGTAAGCTTGAGCCACTCTAAAACATCCCAATTATTGCTTTAGTATCATCATACTACATACCAGGGGTCCGGATAAGAGGGAGTCTACTGTAAATCAAACAAATGGAAATTAACATTGAGGGTATTGATTGCCAAAGAACACCTAATGTATATACTGAAAGAACACTAGGAATTGCATTGACTTTGTATTAAAATGAAATTGATTACGAAATTTACAAAATTCAATATGAAATGACGTAAAGTCATAGAATATATGTTGAGAGTATAAAGTTCAGAAGACTAAATAAATAAAAACACCAGACTCACCCGACGTTTAAGTGATCGACTAAAGCCACAGTGAGATTGTTAGCAGCTTCAACTGCTTCTTTACGTTTTGCTTCTGTAATCAGAATAACACATAGAAGAGATTAGCACTTTAAAAATAAGATTCAAAAGCTTTTTCTGCTAAAAACAATTGATTGTACAACTATGTCATATTCCAAACAAAGAATTATCAAACATTAAAGTTAGTAGAGTACTAAAAGGGTTTTACTCTAAATAAAATACCTTCTTTACTAAACCAATTGCCTTGCAAATAAATGTCATGTGACTGTTTCTGTCCACTATATATTTTACATCTGATAGATTTTAGAAAGAAACTTTTAAGATCTTTTCACCACACAATGATGTTTTTGGCTGTATTACATACGTTAATTGGTGGCTGAAAGTTACGTTTTGCTGGCCATGCCAGCTGTCATCGTAATTTGGGGACCGAGCAGGTTTTTACTGGCCGGGGCCGCAAAATCAGCTGTCCGCTTACTTACTTAAAACATGAATGCATTTTAAATACACAATCAAAATCCATAGCATTGCAATAGAATTGTGTTATTGTCACTGTTGCCTAGCAACTATTTATTTTTATTTTTGCTGATTCCTCAAATTATTTCTTCCCATAACCTTAAAGTTGTAGTTGTGTTGACTATCAGTGTGCATTATTATGGTGGTGAATAGTGGTAATAGGGTATAGTGCGGTGAAAAATAACGTTCGTACCACGGACCGAAATGGTTTTGCAGCTCTCGATCGATTTAAGTTCTCGACTTCGTCTCGAACTTAAAAACTATCTCGAGCCGGCAAAACCTCATTTTCGGCCCTAGGTACGAAATATACTATTGAGGCAAAGCCCAGAGATTAAATGGAGAGCTTCTTTTTACACTAGTAGTAAGTTGCTTAATACAGTACCACCACACCATACTAGTTGACATTTTTATTTACAACAGTGCTCAGTCTTTCCCGTGAAACTCTAATAAATAAATAAGGGTAGCCTACCACCCTGACCAACTCAACATCATCCAGTGATATCAATCATCTTAGTTGTTCATGTTTCTCAGTTATAGTTCATGTTTCAGTTCAGGTTTATTACCTATGCGTTATCGACAAACAAACATACAAACAGGCAAAAGACAGAATTCAGTAAGGGACTTATTCAGCTTTAGTTGAGAATGAAATGCAAAATGTATTGAAAGATACCATAGCTGAGATAGCAATAGCTCTGATTCAAATTTAATTTTAGCTTCGAAGAATTTCAAAGTTTGATAACTGGCTATAAGTTTGCTATAACTGCATAATTTATCAGATGGAGTCGTATATCAAAGTTCTACCGACTGCTTCATTAGGCGCTCCTGCTTTAGCAAGATCTGTTATGTGTGCTCAATATTCAACATGGAGATTTGATTATGAAATATTTTACCACACGGTGTAACTTACATAATTATATAGGTATAAAAATTCACGGTGTAATTTACAAAATTATATAGGTATAAAAATTCAAATATTGTAAAGGAAAGACCAAGTATTTTAACCTCTTCTTGTCAACACATAATCTCTATTCTCCGTTCACAAAATTTAGGCGGTTTTAAGGGGGAAAATTTATCTCCTTTACATCTTGATCCTACTATTAAAACATAGCTCAACAGCTAAAATTTGTCAAAACGTCAATCTGCTGCAATACATTGATCCTCACTCATCTCCATTCATACTTAGCTTAAAATACCTACATTTTTATGGTCCCCATTTCAGATAAAAGTATTATTACCATTGGTATTAAGCGTTTAGAAAAAAAGTGGTGGGGGAACTTCCTCTCAAACAGCCTAAATTTTGTGAACAGACTATAATGCTATTATTATCTGTCACATGAGCTCAAAAACATACCTTGAGCTTCTTTTCTGGCTGCTTGTTTAGCTTGGTGTTCTTTTATCAACGAGGATAACATTGTTATCCCTGGTACTTCAATGACTGAAAAAATCTTCAAATTATACAATTTGCAAGTAAAAATATAAACATGATGTTGTTATTATCAGCTATTTAAAATACCAATATATTTAAATAATAGGTACTTCTTTCGTACTCTTTTAATATCTTCTTTCACATTCTAGGTTGCAAGGCTTTAGCCCAGAACTGCTTTAAAAACACATTACATCAGGCTAGACCTAGAGGGTCGCAGCACTAAAGATAAAATTCTTGCTGATCGGTAGAATTTGAGACCCGAGACCAAAGTCGGGTACAGTTTCGCAGTGAACTTACGATACCTAGTATGAAATATTAGTTTATCGTATATCGGATATAATATATGACTCAATAAATATTGATTGTATGAATTGATTGAATATTAACTATTCAAGCTATGGGGTCTTTTCAAGAAGACTCTATCCTCCGTGCTTTTTCACTGTGGTCGGTGTGCGGCACCCAGCGGTTAGGTTAGGTTGATTTATTTGAGTTTAGCTAAGTCCTACTTTGTGATACTGATACAGTAATGTCAAAGAAGGTTGTACGGTAAACCTTCGATAGGTCGACACTCCTTGTAGTTTGACACGGGCTTGGAGCTATTTTGTCAAGTGATATTTAATGGTTACTATTGTGATGTAAGCTGACTTGAACATTAATTTTTCGTTTATTGTTGACTTGAGACTTAAATAATGAACAGTGAAATTGTTAAGCTTTTTGGTACCTATTTAATAAATTTGGGTGATTTCTATATAAGACTTGTGTTTTATCTTTCCTGTAGGCCTATATTAAACTCCATTTAAGTTTACTCCCTATAGTTCGACATTTCGATAGTTCGACATCCCTTAAGTCCACAAAGTATCAAATTATCGAGGTTCTACTGTATTAATAAAAACTAAAGTTATTAGGCCTATGTTGTGTAATGTATTAAAGGATAAAAGGATAAATGTATAAAGACACAATTTTTTTGTGTCCTCTTTACAAAATTGTAAATATGTAAAAAACATGTAAAAACTAACCAAATCTTAACGCAACAGTGCACGGTAAAAGGCTACTTTATTATCTGTGGTAAAAGAATGGTGATCCTCTCCTTGAAAATACCATAACAGTAAATCAATGTTTTTATTAAAATGAACCGTTTTAAACTTAATCTGTAACCCCGAAGTCCCATGCTTTAACACTATAGACCGGCTCGGGCTCGCTCCACATAATTTTTTCACTAAAGTACTTAAACTTACATACATTACCTACTCGGGTAACCAAGTCGCTACAGCACGGTCACTTTCAAATCTGAAGGTCACTAAAATTTAAGAATTGATTACTTGTTCAGCAATAATCTTGCGTAGGTACATCAAATAATGTTGGTATGGTTGCTATGTTAGAACTCTACGCACATCTCAACTTTATAAAAGCTCCAATGTCAGACCTTCCTCAACTGTTAAATTGCTTGAAACAAAGTTACTTAGTTAGTTTAACGTGGTTTATTTTTTTGGCTTGCTGAACACCCTTTCCACTGTTTGGGTGAATTTTTATAAGTGAGCCTAAGTTAGGCTATAATAGAATCTTAAAGGCCTAGTAAAATTATTGTTACCGGCTTGCTTATGAGTTTCATTTAGTCAATTGCATGTTAGGCTAGGCCTAGCCTACTTAATTTAAATTAGTTACCTATTTAAAGCTAGGTACCGTTAAGTCTTTCTACATCACATCATATTTGGTCGGTAACACTTTTGATGTCACTTAAGTTATTGTGTTTGGTAAAAGCTAAAAGTAAAATTTGCTAATACTTAGCCAAAATAAATGTAACTGGCAAAACAAAATAAAATGAGCTATTTTGGTGGTTTTTAGTTAATGAAATAGATAAATATTTTTTTATCGTTACCAAATGTTACATACGAGTAGAATACATGTGGATATACCTTCGTTCCAAGTTTCATGTAAATATCTACATTCCAAGTGGTTTTTTTTCCTAAAAATATTGAATTTGTTGACCCGGGTCAACAAAATAGTCGGTCCCACTTAAATTTACTTGGGTACACTTCCATATCTGCTGGCACAAACAACCGAATGAAAATATCGATCGATATATCGATTATTCGATAGGCTATATCGTTTGGTTAGTTAGGTAGGGTTAACCTAACCTAACTAACCAAACGATATATCGAATTAAACAACCAGTTATTCAACCAGTTTTTTTTCCATTAGCATGTGATGTTAGTCCCTATCTGCCTTTCAATAAATCCTGCAAAATAACAAAAAAAGTAAAAGAGCATGAGAAAAGGCAGAAGGGAAGAAAATTTAATTAGGCTAAGCAATTGTATTTCACATTTCACCTTCATTCATTTATCACTTTTCGTTCATAATCTTAATCTTTCAATATTGTATCTGTATCAGCAAGTCAACCCTGTAAAAATGGTGTTGTACCGTAAACAAATAAATAAATAAACAATCGAATAATCAATCAGTGGAGTGAATAAAACTAGTATATTCTTATTAGTATATTCTAACTAGTTTTAGCTAATTCTCAAAACGAGGTGAATAAGAATTTGCTAAAACTAGTTAGAATATACTTGGGTCATTTGGCGAATCCTAGTACATTCTAACAGGTTAGAGTAAATTAGGCCTAGAAAATACTAAACAAAATACAAACTTTCAATTCTGAACATATCACCCGCCTTGGTGCCCTTTGTTTCTACACACTACCATTCTTTTAATTTAATCTATGACACTACACAGGAATACCTCAGTCTATAGCTTAATCTGTCTGCAAGTGAAGATTACCCTCCATGTACTAACGTTGATCGGGCATTGCTGGTAAAAATCTTAAAAAAATAGTTATGTCTTGGATAAATAAAAAATTCAAACAAAAACTAAAGCCTTGTCCTTATTAACAAAAAAGTTTTGCAATGTAGTAGGAAAGGTTAATACTGAGGCACAAGTAAAAAAAAACTCATAAATAACTGTTTGACTGACTGTCTGAACTGACTGACTGATAAAAAACTGTTTGAAAAAGAAGACGGATATGAAAGCTACGGGAAACAAAGCCATCAAGCCGAAAGACTAGGAAAATTAATTTCTAGATATGAATCAGGAAGAAAAGACGTGTTTAGTAAAGTTACCGGTTCCATTTCAGTGGGCATTAAGAGACACGCAGAAAATGAAGGAGACCCACTCTAAGGACCTTCTGTTTCCTTCACTGGTGAATTGGAGGGGTTTAAAGAAAAATATTAAATGAGTAAAACAAAAGAAAAACGAATATAAAACAGATGAAACCAAAGATCACTTGCGAAACTTCAACGTTTAGTACTGCTACAGCAGTTTTAAAAATTCACTTGTTGTAAAATCCATGTTTTCACTAGTAAAACGCATAAGCTGCTTTACATATCTACATCTAACTCACGGCTATCACAGTGCGTTTTTCTATCATAAACATAGCCATATGACTGAATGAAAACCCTACTTTAGCCTCCGTCACTAGAAAGCTAGCCTGCCTACCCCTAGCTTAAAAATCTTTAAGAATATACTAACCTTGGCTAGTAAAAACTAGCGTTTATTCACCTACAAAGGTTAGAATATTCTAGTCATTTGGTGATCTTAGAATTTACTAGGGGTAGTATATTCTGACTATTTTTATTCACCTAGAACTTAGAATATACTTGAAATCAGCTTAGTTTAAGCAAATACTAGTTTTTATTCACACCACCCCATATACTATATCAATATATTACTATCAAATTGAAAATATTGATTAATAATCGATATTGATATTATAAAATATATCTATTATAAAATTAAACTATCATAACCTAACCTAACCAACCAAACTTGCTGATGGTGAAAAAATCGAATCGATAGTTTCAATCAATATTAGCGTAGCCCAGTTAAGAAACTGTACCCTTTTAAAACGACAGCAATATACTTACAAAAGGATCAAAAACCACCCACAAAAGTAATATTATTATTGTTGTTACTTTATACAATTAAATTTATTGCTTATTAAATATGACATAACCTCAAGCTACACTACAAAACAAACAGAAACAAGCTGACTTTGACACTGACAGTGACAGTAGTTAGAAGTTAGAAACAGGAAAAAAGCAAAAACAGAATATATAATTACATGTTATTTGAGGCGCGGAATATTATAGTTCGTTAAATATAAGTCCCTGAAGTAGCTCCTTTTGCTGCTTTATTTTTAAGGATAGCGATAACTAACTATATTCTAGCTATTTTGCATTCGATTCTGAGCTTAGATAGTAGTAGTCGCGTTCCCACTAAAAGTGAATACGAATGCGTGCACACTTGTCAACGCGCTTTCTTGAACCACGTCTGTAGTGAGGAAGTGATATGATAAGTTAGTCATAAGCTCTTTATTCCAGAATTACAAAATTACATATTGTATTGGAATAGTCAAGTTTACAATGAAATGTACAAAAGATAAAATATAAAAAACTCCACTAACTAAAACAATTTAACCTTAATTCTAGTAAATCTAACAGGACAGAAATCACTATGAGTATATGTCAGTGGAAAAATCGCGGACTCTGTAGCAAGCATTTTCAACCAAACTGTTTTTATGTTTTCTCCTAAACCTGATCAGATGAGTCTCCAGCTTTAGATGTTGAGGAAGTTGGTTAAAAAGTAGAATTCCATTGTACAGAAGGTGATGTTGGAAAAATGAAGTTGAGTGGACGGGAATTTTTAAGTTATATGATGTGCGTAAGGTATATTTACTGGAAAACTAGAGTTAATGTTGGTGTTAAAAAATGACTGATGGGTTTTTACAAATGAAAGGGTCTCAAGGATAGTGAGGGAAGAGTCAAAATTGCAGCTGACCTGAATGATTCCTTACAAGATCGTCCTTCTGAAAAGTGAAAATATAACACGAATAGCCTTTTATGATCATACCTCCTGGTAATGAGTGGACCAGTGGACCACACGACCCACTCTTCATAGTCTATATTTTTTATTATTTTTTTGTTTTTTACCTCAGAAAGCCAACAATGGCAGAGTGTATTGTTGAGAGTTGTGCAGGTGCTAAGTTTTTTGCATTTTAGTCGACAATTTGTGACAGTCAAGTCATGTGAACCGATTAGAAAATAGAAGAAAATTCATACTTCTTACATCACTCAAGACGATACTTGAAAGTAATACAGGTGCATCGTTTGATTGCATCTTACAGTGACCATGCAATTTTAGGAACTTTGAATTTTCATTGTCTTGCAATGCAATTGAATTACATGTGTTCCCATTGGCTACGACATAGCACATTTAAACTCTTAAAAAACACACACAAAAACTGCTAGGAACAAACAAATCACCAGTGCCAGCCACACACTTATGATGATGAGACTCATGTTGGGAAGACCTGGGGTCTACGCCCACAAATTACTAACTGGTTATAGATAGGGTTGCAAGACCGATGATGGTGTATGGCTCGGTGGTCTGGTGGACCAAGGTAATGCAAACTACCGCTGTAAAGAGACTACAAAAGATCCAGCGAGTGGCATGCCTTAGCATCACAGGAGTCATGAGAGGCACTCCAAAACTATAGCCCTGGAAAGAGGGCTAAACCTGCCACCTCTCGACATTATTGTGAAAGGAGAGGCAAGGATGGCAGCCTACAGGAATGGTTTGCAGTGGCAACTGGAAATATAATGCCTCCAGTGAGCATACAAGAATTGTGGACAAGGTGCAGACAGGCACCTTGGAAATGTTACCAGACAGGATAGTGAAGATCAAGTTCTAAAAAAGCCATAAAATGTCAACATTGTTTACAGGGCTGCCTGGGATAAGGGTGAACCTGAATACATGAAAAAGGGGATCACTTGGTATACGGATGGCTCTAAAAAGCCAACGGGCACTTTGCAGGAATATATGGAGTCAGACCCAAGGCGCAGTTTTGCGTAAGCCTGGGGAAACTGGCCACTGTATTCCAGGCAGAAGTTAGTTGCCCTGTCCGAGTGTGCAATAACATCAGAATTAAAATTTGTTTTTAATTTTCTCCATAACCACTAACGCTTCAAAATATTTTTTTAAGCTCTACATATTTTGAGCGTGCAAATAGGGAAACCCCTGTTCCCATAGTCCATTCATGCTGGTTTGTGAGATTGTTAGAATAAACGTAAAAGACACAATGTAAATATCAACCGCCCCAAATTGATGTTTACATACGTAATCTGGGTACAGGTTTTAGAGAAACGGACAATAAGAGGCTGAAGGGAAAACCGCAAAAACAGCTACCAGCTTGCGTCTTTAGCTGCTGGAGACCACTCTTCAAGGAAATCTTTTCAAAAATCCCCCCTTGAGCGTGCTACCGTACTTCTGCGGCGTTTAAAACCAGAGCCGCTGACTGATCCAAATCAAAACAGATTTGAGTTAGAGTATTCCATTTTATGTTCTCATTAATTTCACCATTCGACATTGGCCTAATTGTTATTCATTTTGTAGTATAATATGCTCAATGGTATTAATATGATTGTTCTTTTCTTTTGCTCTGTATAAAAATACTGTATGTTGCGATTATTTGACATTCATGCAAAACTGCCATTGCAAAATGGCAACCCATAAAAATAGGATAAACTAAATAAAAATGTTTTGGTAATCTACTGACTAGTTTTTTTTACCCAACCGGTGGGAGTTAAACTCACTCACTCACGCCGGTTTTTTTTGTTCTCTTAAGGTTTTAGGGAACATCTTCATATTAAGGTCTCATTAAGGACACCACAGCGATCAAAACTGGTGGTCCCAATAATTAGCAAATTGAGAGAATGCTAAGAACATCAAATTGATTTTGCTCATGTAATTAAGTTAAAAGTTCGTAATGTTATATCATCAGGCCTTGAATAGCCATCATTTAAATAACATAATCTATGTTTATGCAATAAGCCTCAATATACCGGTACCAGAAATGTATGTAAATTCCGAAATTATAATCATAAATCTATATATTTAATTCCGTAATCAAATCTGTCCCCACGAAATATCTCAAGCTAGGAAAAGAGTAGCATGGCTGTTGAGGGTTCATTTTAAAGCTTAAGGCCCAAGGACGGTGGGAAAACTATCATAAGTGTTAAAAGATTACCTCTGCTCTGCTCCACAGGCCGTCAAATATCCAGTCATTTTCTAATGTAATTACTGCTTAAGTGTTTCTATAAGCTGTTTTAAATATACCAGCTGATGTAAACATTGTGTATTTGTTTGCTTATTGATTTTAGTGTTATGTATTTAGGTTGGAATGGTAATGCAATGTTGATATTTATGGTGTCAGGGGAAGACAGTGACTAAGAAGGAGAGTTAGGAATGGTAGAGCATAGGGTTAAGGCTAAATTAGGTACAACGGAGGTGAAGGGCAGCAATCGCTGCTATAGTATAACTTAAATTTATAATTTGGTTCTTTGGTTTAGTATTCAAGGATTAGTAAAATAAAAAAATAACACTTACTGACCTGCCTTTAATTTTTTATAATCATTTCAATAAATAACACATAGCTTATAACAAATACATACAAAAATAACTGATACACAAAATGAGGACTTCAAAAACCTACATATTCATCTAAATATATAGATAACGATAAATTAAATACTTTACATGTCACTTCTAAACATTACAACCAATACCTGTATTTTGTTTTAATCATGGAAGTTTTATGTTCATTATTATTGAGGATAATAGCCGCCAGTTAATTCCTGAATTCAAAACAGTAGAGCATCTTATGTTAAATAAATAACAGCAATTGATTTAGAAATTGCAAAATTTCACTTGTAAATTTAAGCTTTTTAGTTTTATTTTTAAAATTTCTGTAAGTAGTTTTTTAGATTAATACAAACAAGTCTTTGGTTATATAATTTTTTATTTGACTTTCAGACGTTCAAATAATACACTACAAGGTTTGTTAAGAAGTTAATTCTGGCACCTCACAGAAGGGTTAAAATATATTTTAAACTTATTTAAAAAATAAACACATGTTCAATGCAACTGATAAACAAAGCATACAAGTTTTCACTCTTGATAATGAGAATTAAGTTATTGCTCACTGTACTTATTCTATACCTAATTTTGAAGTGATATTCCCTATTCAAATCTGAAATGCGTATCACACTAAGGAACAAATTATGTAAAATAAAAATTATATATCTTTAGTCCAAAGTTAAAATCTAATTACAAAGTTAAACTTTAGAAATCAATGGACATGGAAAAGTGACGTAGATCAAACTAAAATATCTATCTTGTGATGAAATGGTTGATCTGCTTTACTTGTATTGCTCCAGAAACTTGAGGTGGAATTCACGGAACTTCTCAAGCATACCCTTCAACTTCTCGGGCTGCGGCAATATTGTTGTTCTGAAATCAATATTTATTGGCATTAGATGAGACCAGACTGTTCACTTAGCAGAGCCTCGATTAAAAGCTCAGATTTGTTATGGCTAAAATTCAAGCCGAGCTGAGTTATGCAGTTTTCATATTTTTTGCTTACTTTCTGTAGTCAATGTTAGATTCATATTTTTCTCATTTATGATCTCTTATACTGTTTATCCAGAGAGACCGAGTACTTGAGTATTTTTGAGTGAGCATTTCAGTACAAATTGGCAAAATGCTCACTCAAAGGGTTGATCTTTTTAATGAGATTGCTGGATCAGTTACATTTGTATGGCAAAATCCAAGCCCAATCTTTACTTCAGCAAGTTATTTTATAACTCATACTGTTATCTGCCCTGTGACCTTTAAACATGTTAAAATAAAGCTAATAGTGTTAAGTGATAAAAGTGAGACAAGACTTATAAATAGCTTGATTTGGATATTGCAAGGGTAAGAGCAAGACTTATTCCTCACCAATCTTCCCTCTCTGGAAATCCTATGCAGGTGGACAAAACATAGTACAATGTGGTGTTACTTTTGTCTACATGAAAACCTCCAGACCACATTTTTTTTTTAATAACCCATCTAAACTACTTAATAAAACTATGTTTTATTATTTGAAAATGTATCTGAACTATACTGTCTTGGTTTTGTTTTGTGTACCTGAAGTGATAGGTTCCAGGTTTCTGGCCGAAGCCAGCACCAGGGACTATACAGATGCCGGTGTGTTCTAGCAGCTGGAAGGCGTAGAACGTCGAGGGACACTGACCTAGCGACTTGGCCTTGGCGATCGCCTTCTCAGGTAACTTAAACTGTAAACCACTTCAAGTTAATTTGTATATACAAGAATTATTATGGAAAAAAACACAAGATTAATCCTTTATGTACAAAACATATTTCAAAGTTGTCAAAGTCTTTAAAAACTACCTGAAAGCTAAAACTTGGTACATTTTTAGTAATTCATTTTGTATAACATAAGAGGTGTATATTTGAAAAAATCTATCTATTAAAGTTGTAAACAAATGTGTTTAATGTGTTAAAATCAGCTGTGTGGAATTGTAAATACAGTAGCCTATTTGGCAGTTTGTCAATTCAAATAAAACATTATTAGTTTCCTCATGGATGCCATGAAGACCAATCAATATTTAATTGAAAAAACCACACCAAAAAACTTTGAAAGCCTGTGAAACAGGGCCCAAGGTACATTTTGTAATAGAAACAGTCTTACTTTAGAGTACCGTACAACCCAAGAGGATTATCCCACTATAACCATGAGTTTGTGGTCAAGGAGAAAACAGGGCTTTTATCTCTGAGAGTCTTAAGATCCAATCCCGGCAATCACCGATGACTTTTACTTCCTTCAATGTGATAATGCTCTAAGCCTAACTTGAAATAGTGTGTTCTACGGTTCTGAGCTAGAGCCTACTACACTAGAATGTACAGGATGGATGTAAAAAGAGTACCTGAGGAAAGGCATACATCGCACCCTGGACTGTGTTGCAGCTCATGCCAGGAATGCTGTTGAAAGTCTCAGCCACCATCTTGGCTCTAAGAGCTAGGGACTTTAACACTCCGTCCTTCTCTGCCTTGAACTTCTCATAGGACGGTTCACCAGGCTGGGGAGGGTTCACCACACAGTCCATGGCAGTCTGTAACAATCACCACAACATGTAGCATAAACTTGCGATTTTTCTATTTTTTTGTATAAAGCAATATTTCTCTATTGCAATAGTCTCAATTATCCGGCCTAAGTACGCCAGATGCAGAAACTGTTGATAAGCGGAAAGGATTAATGAAACAGAAAATAGTATTCACGTTGAAAACAATAAATCAATCAACCTATCAAACATTGTCTAAAGTATTCCAGGCTTTAAGGGAGATAGTAGGGGGTAATGGTTAGTAGAGTTATGTTGGTAAAAAAGATTAGACAAATTTGTTGCATGGAGCGAGCTAAAACAATCACAAGTTCACTCGAGTACAGGTGCCAATGCAGGCCCTTGACACTAAAGATCTTTTGTCACAGACAAGGGTAGTAAGTGATGGGAGCGATTGTTTCGACAAACTCACTACAGTGTGTACAAGTCATATCACATGGAAGATTGTATTATCGAGCTATATAGTTGATAATTTTCACTTCCAATGTTAGTGAATAAAATAACAAAATTTACTGTATTTGTGGGTCCCCTTAAAAACCTGTGATTTATATCATTTTAAATTCAAATCAGCGACTTTAGCTACTAGACATCCTGATTTACAAACTGTTAAAATCTTATCATGGCAAATAGCAGAACAGGCTGTGCTTAAAAGCTGAATGGTTGTATTGCTCGGTTGGTAATTCAAGATCATCGTTCCATCCCTGAAAAAATTCAGTAGGTTTTTGATGGTTTGAAACTGGATCCAGCTATCCTTGATCATTGAACTAATGATAATTGCTCAAGACTAACGGACCAGATGATCTTACTCAGCAACAAAGCTAATTCATTTAACATCCGTCCTTTACTCACATTTGCTTTAAAACACCCATCCTGGTGTGTGGCGTGGAATAAATCTAATATTTACACAAACTTATCAGTTAGAATAAATTGAGAATACTTGAAGGGTGTATACCTGTCCAAGCACTGTAGGACACAACATTGCAGAGATACACTTGAGTAACATAGCCTTGACCTGGGGGTCCAGATTGATAACTTCTGAGAAGCCTCCACGCAGTCCACACTCTCCCATGTAACCTGAACAACAAACAACTCTGCAATCAGGTTATAACATACACTCGACCAACATGGCCTTGACCTGGGGGTCCAGATTGATGACTTCTGAGAAGCCTCCACGCAGTCTACACTCTCCCATGTAACCTGAACAACAAACAACTCTGCAATCAGGTTATAACATACACTTAACCAACATAGCCTTGACCTGGGGGTCCAGATTGATGACTTCTGAGAAGCCTCCACGCAGTCCACACTCTCCCATGTAACCTGAACAACAAACAACTCTGCAATCAGGTTATAACATACACTTAACCAACATAGCCTTGACCTGGGGGTCCAGATTGATGACTTCTGAGAAGCCTCCACGCAGTCCACACTCTCCCATGTAACCTGAACAACAAACAACCCGGACACCAATCAGATGGTTATACTGTATTTGGGTGGCAATGAGTAGTTATAAACAAAAACATAACCTCTAGACTAGTGATTTTTAGTTCTTTAGTTGGTGGTAATATATAAAGATTTGTACAGATTTAGTACTATAGGCCTAGTGTAAACTATCGAACATCACTCGTCCAAAATGTGTTTACCGGACTCGTATGGTAATCCCGTACTTGACTTCGTCTCGCAGGGGAACGACCACACTCGTCCGGCAAACACTTATTTTCAGGACTAGTAACGTAATGTACTATTTCACCACACTATGATGTTTTTAGCTGTTTTACATATGTTAATTGGTGGCTGAAGGTTACGTTTTGCTGGCCCTGGCAGCTGTCATCGTCATTTGGGGACCGAGCAGGTTTTTACATCCTTAGGGATGCAAAATCAGCTGCCCGCTTACTTTCTTAAAACATGAATGCATACCACATACCATAGCATTGCAATATAATTGTTTTATATTGGAGTCTAAGCCTTCGCTATATCATCACGATTTTGTCCCATGGCACTGCGGAGTGGGGAACCACAATTTTTATTTCAGCTACAGTTTTTTTTTTTTTTAATAAGGACAACATGAGAGCATTCTATTGGCTGAGGGAACACTATTATCACAACGATACGGTTTGGAGCCATCGGCCTAGGTGGTCTAATGGATAGCGTGCCGGGCTGAGAAACTGAAGGTGCCAAGTTCGAATCCTATCGGTGGTAATAACTTTTTGTGTAAGATTTTTGCACTATCAGCAAGTTTGGTTAGGTTATGACAAAAAACTAAAAAAATATTATTATAATTATAAATTGTATAATTAAACCATTATAAAATTGAATTTGAGCTATTATAACTTAGTATTAGAACTATTTATTTTCGATTAGTAAACCTTCATTAGATTTTTTCATCATCAGCAAGATTGGTTAGGTTATCTCGAGCCAGCAAAACCTCATTTTCGGCCCTAGGTACGAAATATACTATTACATGTATTTATACTGGTTTCAAAAGTCTTTTATGATTGTTCAACATTTGTAAGCATTTCTTGCGCCCCGTCACCCGCGATCCCGACAACACTCAGGAGCATGTCTTGCGGGCTTAGCGATATCGGTAATCATCTCCCGCGATCACGGCAACACCCATGAGCATATTTTGCAGCATCACCACTGATTATCTCAATTGCAATTGCTGCAACACCGATCAACCTTTTGGTTAACCAAAGTTTTGGATGATCTGGCTTCAGATAATTGATCATCTACTGTACTAAGTACCGTTAAAAAAAATTTAAAAAAATTATCACTGCTGCTCACAGCCTGGAGTTTTATTTTTTCTATGTTTTATTTTTTTCTATCTACTTTTATCAGCAAGCCTGAATCTATTGCTGCCACTTTAGCAACAATTGACGGTCTTTATATTATTATTTATGAACATGGAACATTTTGTTGCAACTGATCCTAGTATCCATGAAATACTCTATAGAAAATTTATTTAGGTGTATCAGGAAAACAAAACAGCGTGAGTGAATGAAGCAAAATGATGCAAACAATAGTTCATTTAAAATTGTCTGTCCTAATGATGATACTGCACCTTTCTGAAAAAGTGAGGGCTAACTGATGGTTTGGAATTTTTTGTGATTGGTGACTTTCACCCAATTGAAAGATTAAAGTGTTTTTTGTGATATTGAGTGAAAACAATAAATTTAACAATCGTTGTCTGAACCGAACCGAATTTGATTTTTCATACATCCACACATCTCTAAAATTTACACAATATGATGCAGGTAAAGAGGCTACAGAATATATACCGTGGATACAGTATTTTTTAAATAATTTGTACTAGGTAGCGTTATAAGTAATCCTAGCTTCAAACTAAAATTGTTTATCAAACAATGAGATCCAATTGAACTTAGTTTCTGAAACTAAAGACATTAGGACGTGTAGGCTAAGTATTTTATGCAACAGATTTAAGGAACAAATTTGTCTATTCAGCGTCCTCTCCATTGAATAGCATGGGTAAATTAGCTGGTATAAAAATAAAATATGTATGTATTGTATATTGTTCCCTCCACTTTAAATAGGTTCTTCCATTATTACATTTTTTGTTCTTATTTTACAATCCAATATATGTATATATATATTTCTTAGAACAACTTTATACAGAAAATATAATAAAACTGTATGTACAAAATTACCTTTAGAGCAAGACATGAAAGACGCCAGTTCCATTTCACTGTAAGGAGGTCCCATCTCAGTCAACACCTTCTTAAAGGAGTAAAACTTGCAGCCTTCGGCGTAGACGTTATCTTGGTAAACCTTAAAACACAATTAGGTCAAGTGTGGATAGGTCAATAGATAATAATTAAGTCTTGAACAATATTTTGAAAATTCAAACCCTATTTAAGTCTAACAAGGTTTTTAATAAATAGCCAATTTAGTTTAATTTTTCAAAATCTGCATACACAGGTATACTTCCTTTACCTTCACAATATTAAGGCGGTTAGAGGGGAAGTTCCCCAACCACTTTTTTCTGCTTAATGTATGTTGCAGCTGATTGACGTTTTGACAAATCACAGCTGTTGAACTATTATTTAATGGTAGGAGACATGAGAGGGGATAAGATATCTTCCCCTAAAACCGCCTAATTTTATGAATGGAGTTTAGCTATGGGAGACACACTAATAACAATATGTGATATTATATGACATTGGGGTATTATGATAATCTTTATTACTCTCTAAATATTGTTTTAACATTTTTTAGTAGCAAAACCAGAGTTTACAACCTTTTCCAAAAGATTTACAAATATTTCTCTGTCGAAATGAACATTTAGTGGAAAATTTTGTTTAAGGAAAGGCTCTAGGCCAGGATTTTAAATAGTAGAAAAAGGAGGATAGCAGCTAGCTTACCTTGAAAGTGTGGGTAGGCCATAGAACAAGTAGAAAAACACTATGCACACAATATTTCGTCCCCTAAGGGACTTTGTCAAGTGTATGAGAGAAAGAGTTACAAAATGGCTGCTGTCCCAAAATGGCTTAGGACAGCAGCCATTTTGTAACTCTTTCTCTCATACACTTGACAAAGTCCCTTAGGGGACGAAATATTGTGTGCATAGTGTTTTTCTACTTGTTCTATGGCCAACCCACACTTTCAAGGTAAATTTAGTGGAAAATATTTACCTCATCAGCAAAAATGAACAAGTTGTACTTGTGGGCAAACTTGATGATGTTTTCAATGTTATCCCTAGACAGCACTTGACCTGAAAACCAGAATTAACAACATAAAAAAAACTCATTCCTATTGGTTCTAGGTCTTTTTGAAAAGGAAGACAAAATCTTAAACAAAGAGTACAGACGTGTTGAGCTCAACTATTATAAATTAAATAGTTGTTACTTGAAACTTGATTGCACTAGTATTTTTAAACTAAAGTACCTATTATTTTTTTCTTTTCACAGGGAGTACTGGAGGTAATGTTTCAAGAACTTTTAAGCTATATTGCAATGACTGTACAAAATCAGACAAAAATTATAATAATTACTAATGGCCAATGGGGGAGTTGATTAGTTTTTACTGAAGCCAAAACCAATTACGTTGGGTAGTACAGTAAACTGTGATGCATTCTTTACAGCTTCGGCCAAGATAGCAGTACCACTACAAATTCCCAAATTGTATATCATGTGAATGGAACTATTGTCTACCAAGGTTCACTGGAATGGTAAAAAAAATACATTACTCTCAAAATTAATAGTGACTGGCAGTTTGGGAATTTGAGCTGTAAACGCTATCATGTGTGTGATTGAAGTTTTTGGTGACAATGCCAGTGATTTGTTGTAAATGTGTTACAACTGGATCTGCTAATTAGATTTACACCTGCTGTTACCATTGACTATTGGATGCTGAAGTAGACATCCCATCTATATGGATCAGCTGTCGCCAATTTTTAATGAAAAAGAACATAACTTAGTTGTGTGAGCTAGTCACAGAATGCGCTAGCGCTAGTGTATAAAATTCTATTTTATACCATATTTATTGTTGCTGACATAGTTGATGGGTCATAACAGTTGTTATAGCTCACTAAGTCATTCCATTAGTTTAACTTGGTAATAAGGTTTATTTATTCTACAGAAATTAGTCATTTAGATCAGCAAAATCTGTCAGCTTACATCAACAAAAATTTTAAATGAAAAACTGGCGACAACTTTGATATGGGGATGGATTGTCTAGTTGTTTGTATCAATAGTGAAAGCTGTTACCTGTGGGATTGCCGGGGTTGATGATGACAATGGCGCGAGGAGCACATATCTTCTTGGCCTCGGCGTAGGATCGCTCCAGCTCATCTGTTTCCAGGGACCAACCTTTCTCTTCATTCAGGAAGTAACCAACCTGTTTTAAAACATTTCTAAATGTGTCAGAAAATTTGATAAGCAAATATTTTTCTGATAATGATTTTAACACCTAATTAAATTATACAGCTAAATTTCACCCTGTATGAAATTTTCACATAGAAAATACAAGCCTAGTATTTCCAAACACCGGTAAACCAATTTAATAAAATTAATATTAGAAACAGAAGGGTTTCAGATCTTTAAATCCAACAAGGCTCCACAACAATTTTTAGAATACTAACTTAATTAGTTCCTTCATTTCTTGTACTCGTTATAGTGTTGCCAGTGAACTATATTAGCCTGATTATCCACCATGCCAGCCTAGGGTATTGGCGAGATATGGTATGTTAGGGGACATGATGAGTCTGGCTCTCGTCATTGCTTGTGCCATGTATCTGTAGAGGAATGTTAACAGTTCGGCAGTGGTTGGACTTACCTGGTGCATGTTGAACTCAGCCAGTGAAGCAGAGTACAGAGGGTACTGAGGGATGGGAATCATCACTCCTGGCTGCTTGCCATCAATGTTCTCGATGAGTAGCTTCATGACTGACTGGAACATGTCAAAACTCAGTTAGATCACAGGGCTACCTTTGTTCACTGGTAAAATACTCTATCGTTTCCCATAGCAGACTTACCTAAATGGGAAAGACTCCATTCTGACAGAAAAAAAAAAAAAAAAAACACAGCACAACAAACATTACACGATTCATTGGTAGTGATCACTGACAGCATTTTCAACCATGGAAGGTTTGTGTTGGGAGGTCCCTGTATTATTTTATTTTTTTTTAATTATTTTCCTACACCATATAACCATTTATAAAGTTTTTTGCACAGGAACAGCCCAAATCCTATTTTACACTAAGGGACCTTAGGGTAAGGGACCTGAACACATCATTCTTCCCTACTGAAACCTTGGGTGAAAATATTGTTATATACACTAAACTTTTTTATTTAAATTTGTTTGTACAGGAGATTGTAATCCATCTATTTACCACAGATTTGGCCATCCAAATAATTTTCTCATTAAACATCATTCAGGATGAAGTAGAAAAATGTGTACATGAAATTGAGATAGGGGCTTTAAACTTGCTGATCTAATCCACTAAATCACTTGACTAAGACAGCACCATACATTGTGTACAAGTTTTCAACTGAGTATAAATGCAGACTGAGTGTAAAAAGATGTGGATGATCTATGAAACTTTGTCACTTAAAATAACAGTTGGCTGTTTTAGGTCATTTATTAAAAGCCCAATATAGACCAACCATCCAAAAGACACAGACTTCTTAGGGTCAAACCAGCAACAGAATCGTCTTACCTTGATTCCGTCAGAAGCACCGGCAGACAAGATGACGTTCTGCCAATCGCAAGGGATTCCTCCGTCCCTCCTCTCAATGTACTGTGCGACGTGTTTGCGGATTATCTCGATACCGGGAGAGTCTGTGTAAGAACCTAACACATACACATACATTATGACTTAAATAGCAAGTTTACATTGTTAGGACAGAATTGTTTAACAAATTAGCTGTGAATGTGCAAATGGCAGGGTTTTATTATGTTTAATGCTGAAAACCTAGTATGAGTGAAGGCTTTTTTGTTCTTTTTTACTCTAACCGTATGGTGACTTAATTTGGCTCAATAGCTACCAACATTCAAGTTAAAAAATTCCAATCATGCAATGACAGTTGGATACCCCAATTTGGGAAGGTACCGTTTTTGTTGCCAACTACACCACATCACACATCAAAACAATTTTAAATAAATTTATACTATAACTATCCAAGCATCCATATTATATGCCGAGGATGATATACTATTTAAATTTTCTAATGGCATTATTTACAATTAAACCTGGCATAAAACTTTCAAACGTACAGTATTTTGTCGAGGTGTCCAACTGATTTAGTTTAAAATAGGCGTACCTTACTCATAGGTTGAAGAGTAGCAAGCACAAGGTTAACAAAATGACATAGAGAATAAAGCGTAGCCTAATAGGAACTATAGAATCTGTTTCAAGTAGCAGATTCGATTTCTGAAGCCAAATGCAGTTTTTTTTTTTAGAAAAATTTGATACAAAGGGTGAAGCTACGATAAAATAAATATTGTCGGAAATCCTGCACAATAGAAGACCCCTTGGATGCCCAAGAAGAGGTGTAAAGAGAAAGTTAAAGACACAAGAATATTGAGAGCCAATGAAGAAGATTGAAGAAGTAGAGGCTAAATATATTTTTTAATAAATGGCTTAAGTAAATAAAGTTGATTAGTACAATAATACCTACCTACACTTCCGCCCCTGCATCCCGCCAGAACATCTTTTGCTCGTTTCTTTACATCATCAGGGAATCTTGGGTCATTTAAGAGTTCTGGAAGAGCAACCAACGCCAGCACCTGTAAATAAATTATGGAAAAAATTTGTTATCTAGTTTTTTTTTTCTCTCAAAAAGCTCTAATTATTTTCTTTATATATTGATAATACAGTAGAACCCCTCTTATCCGGACTCCACGGGACCAAGGCCAGTCCGAATAATGGTTTTTCTAGTTAAACCGAGGTTCCCAAAAACTTGTTATGTAACCCAAGTATTTGACTTAAATTTAGGATAGCATTGTATTTAGACACGAGATAACTGGTCTCAGATCTTTCCCACGTGAACAGTCATTTCAGTACCACCCACTTCCTGCCGATCTAGTCCGGTTAAACCGATGTGCAGATAAAAATTGTCCGGTTTAAGAGATGTCATTTCCGCCAAGTATAAATAAGAATTTTATTCAATTTCAAACACTTGAGTAGCTTCCTTGATGTTTTACACATACAGACAATTAAAACACAACTTCAATATATACTTCAAAAATACTGTCGGTACAGGAGGCTTAGGCAAAAGAGTCTGTTCTTCTTCATGAAGATGGTAATGTTTTCCCTCGATAAGTATAAACTACCTACCGGTATTTTAAAACATGGTTTATTTTTTATAGACTCTAATTGTTAGGCCAAATCATAGATCTTAAGCTAAAGTTGTTAAGCTTAATTTTTTATCAGCAAGTTCTCTAAACTTCAAGCTTCACATTTGTAGAAAGCAAGTAAAAGTATACCACAATAGTTTCGGTTCATGATTTAGATTTATAATCCACATAAGAATTTCAGTTTTTAAATCTTTGTTCCTAACACTTTGACAACTGACCTGTCTGATGAACGTGATGGGCACCTGTCCCATGGCATGGCAATCTCCAATGTTGGCTTTGATGACTTCATTGAAAGGCTTCTTCGCTCCCTGGAAAAAAAAAAATTCAATTCAATTTTAGTCTCCTGATCGCATTTATATATTAATAAATTGGTGTAAAACCTCGTTTCTCGTTTCATTCTAAGGTCGTCAAGTGATGATAAATCTATATAAATAAAATTAGAGTTTTGTCTGTACATTGCTCAGAATTATATATTTTTAGGTTATTTTTACGTTTTATACATTATAGAAGCACAAACGAGTCTTATCTCTATTCTGTCTGTATGTCTGTCTGTCTGTCTGTCTGTCTTTCTGTCTGTCTGCAAGACTCAAGATGGCATTTTACACAATCTTCTCCGTGAAAACGAGAGTACCTATCAAGATCCAAGTCATTTTAATGTATTCACTGGATTGGCGAGAGTGTCTTTAGTGATTAAAATACGGCCTCACTACTTTGTAAATAAAATTGCGGACAAAATTGCAGTTTTGTGCGATTTTTGTCAAATTTTCGTTCAATTTTTATCACATAATCGTCTATGAAATAACGAACAGCTGTTCGGATCAAGATTATTTTTTCTAGCTGTCACTGATATGTTAACAAATGTTGTTTACCAATACCGCAACCATTTCGAATCACGTTTTGAACGCAAATCCCAACCAAGTGAGATTAAAAACGTTTTTCTTACACAACAGATTTAATTAATTGCAAGTGCAATATCCGTAAATTAAATTAAATAACTAGGCATCATCCAGATCAGGAACCAGAAGTTCTTTGTGTATAGAATTATTGTTCTTGAGTTTTGATAACCAGAAAAAAGACCTTGAATCAGTGTTGTATATGGCTGGGACACTTAATGATCATCGCCAATAGCTTACAAACAAGGTTTCCACTCATTGACGGCGCTTCAATGGCGATTGTGGAAAGTGTAAAGTAAAAAAATCACAACTGCAGTGGGTGATTGTAACAGAGGTTTACGGATGGTGCTAAACTCGCTTTTCCAATGTGTCACTTTCTGTTTCTACTAACCGTGTAATGCAATTGCTGAACCATAGAGCAAATAGGCCCATAGCCCATCTCTTGGGTACGTACGCCTACCTATTTAATCATCTAACAACCTTTTCGACGACGATCCTTGATACCAGTACTTTTCCATAGAATACATGGCCTACCTACTAAAGAAATTAAATTACAAATGTCCAAAAACCCATTATTGTGTGATTTTTGTCACATTCAACTGCCTACTATAAGATCCCCGTACATAGAACGGGCACACAGCTAGTAAATAAATAAAACATAAAAACGAACATTTAGGATTAAAAACTAAAGGTAATACTGCAACGACACAGGACACAACTTGGTTGGGTGGGAGTTAGTCTAGACATTAACTTACGCCAGATTTTCATAAATGTCCTTTTATATGTTTGTGTATGTGTGCGTGTTTTATTTATTTATTATCAATTGACGACTTACGAATGAAGCGAGAAGACATCTGTACTGGCCTGACAATGACTCCTATTTGAGTAAAACCCGGTTACAATTTAGCAACACATTTGATCACATAAATGCAGGTATTTATTTATACTGTACCAACTTTTTGTAAAAAAAAAATACAACTGGTTTAATATTGTAATACAAAGCAAACACATCAGATTTATGAGTTGAGTACAAAACTTTGTAGAGAGTAAATGTAGGGGTAGATACTAAAGTTTAAACCTACATGTACAAAAAAAAATAATTTTGGGATAGAAGGTAAGACAGAGTAATAAAGTAGTTATGAAACATCAGTGGGAAACCGTGATACAATGGTTTTGGGAGCTAAGTACATGCAAAGAAGTGTCATTTTATGTTCATACAGGTTTTTGGCTTTTGGAATTTTTATTTGAAAATAAAAACAGTTTAGATTGTACAAACAGATAGTATGTGTTTCAAGGAAATTATAGAATAAACATTGATTGAACACCACAACAATCCTTACACTTGTAACACTTGGGATTGCATTACATTTCAATCCTGATCAAGATCAAGAAGTGCATTCACCTCTTCTGTTATTTTAGTGAACTTAAATGAAAATTTAGAACTTTGTATAAGCAAATTTAATAGTATTTTCAAATTCATCAAATTATAGAAATCTAGTTATAATTTGAGAGTTGTATTCTATGAGTGTTACCAAAAATAGATGTTTTTCTAAATTTAATCCGGGGCTCGGTCACCATTGTACTATGATACTTTAATAAAGTACTAGCTGATAAGGCAACTTGCTGTGTAATCTAGTGTTCTCTTTTGAGTTACATAATTCTTTCCTTATTGTAACAGTCACCTTTAACCGAGATAAGAGATAAGAGGCTATCACAATACACTACATGCCTAGCAATGCTACAAATCCTGGTTCACTCAAAATTTTGTAGTGATCTGAAATTGGGTTTTGGAAAAATTCTGTCATGATTAGACATACATAAATGCCTAAACACTTAACTTATTCAGCAATCAAACGGTCCTCTACTACACAACAACTTATCATTTTAACATGACCGTTGATTATGCATTCTTATTAAGATATATCATAAGACTAATGTAAGGATCAGCTGTCACTGGGATCATTGACTTTAGATACTGCAAGTGGACTTTTCATCCTACTACACAATCTGGGGCCAGTTTTAATAAGTGTTTGATGTCTGGTTTTGTTTGAGTATGACAAAACATACTGTATTGTATTGTTTTTCTCTTATTTTAGGGTTAATTTACAGAGTGTGTTTCATCCTTCGACTATAATACTAGATGACAAACAATAGTTTATATCAATTCAATTATCAATTATCAATCATTAAGATGGGGACGCCACTTAGGTGCGTATTTTAACCCAAATATGAGTGAAGGATGAGTGTAGAATGGTGTGAGATGATCTGTGTAGCTTTGTTACTGACTAAGATCAGCTGTTTCATCAGCCAAGATCATTTATTTAAAGCCCAATGATCAGGAACAGCTGGGTCCAGTTTCGAACCATCAAAAAGCTACTGACTTTTCTCAGGATCGAACCGGCGACCTTTTTGATTAGTAGGCGAGCACTATAACCACTCAGCTACCCAGCCAGTTTAATTTAATTGCGATGGTATCTCTTTTCATTTTAAAGTTATAAAGTCGCCCTAAGACTTAATTTTCACCCTGTATATGGTACCGGTAGTTATTTGTATGTGTTTTTTTAATAGTTTGAAAATTAGTGAAATACTGAACAGAAACAATTATACACAGCTGATCCATAGCAATGACAAATCTATAAGTCAGCATGCTTATGGATTTATCTATGCCAAGGGATTAGCTAGGCGAGACGGCAGATGGGAAATGTACATTTCGGCCCAACCTCTTTGTTCGGATAAGGCTAATGCATTTCTGCACTAATGCAACTAATATGTACTGGATTACCAAAAACTAGATATGGTTCTGATAAGCCAATCCATGGTATCAGAACCTTTATGTCAACAGCTATGCTCTGACCCAATTCAAATGTAAATCCACAATTGATATCTCCAGATTTTAAAGCTAAATCTTAATGCATATGTTAAGTGTTCAAGAATGGATAAATAGTTTGTACAAATCTTGTTCACTCGCTGGTTAAATTTTAAAGCCATACAGGTAGACGATATAATAGTCATGTGGACGGACTCCGACAAACATGCCGATGGCATAATATCTTAAAATGAAATACACAATTAATTGATATAATGATAAAAATCGCTTGTTTGAAATAAAATGTGATACATGTAGAGTTTCAATATAAATATAACTCAACAAATTAGAGCGCACTGGAAATCCCTACACTTTCAATAAACTCTCACTACAAGCCTTTACATAGAAATTACATTAATACTAAAATGACTTATGACTGACAAAGATATTCCTAAAACATTTGTAAAGAAACCTAGGGTACTAGCCACTCTAATTGGTTGACGAGACACCAATTAACACATATTGCCCCATCAACTGGCCTGACTGTCATGTAATAGCCAGTTAACAAGTAAACAGCCGTTACAAAACTACTTAACCATATCACTATTTGATTATGTGTCAAAGGTCTAAAGGTTGAGTAGGAAGCGTCGGTTTCACTAGTTCTGAACCAGATATAAGTCTAACATTGACCTCACTTGACCAAAGATAGCACTTCACATGTCCACTGATTAAATTACACATACGGTAACCATAAATCTTAAGTTGCCAAACATTGAAAAATATACTTTACTGGCTATGTAATGGTAATTAACTTTATTGAAGAGCCTAAATAAAACAATAGGATTTTTGAGATACTAGTAAATAAGAAAAACAAGACAGTACAACCAAGGTAATTTTTCACAAAAGGTAAAAAATTAGAAAAATGATATTTTTTCTCTAGGACATATTGCTAAAATATTAAAATTTGGAATTGCAGTTATTAAATTTAATGAGCAGTTAAAACTAAATAATTAGGTTAAGTCAATACAAACTCTAATGCTGCAATCCACATTCTTATAACTGAAAGTAGTTGTACAAATTATATATTATATGTGCCTAGGTCAATGAATGTGAACAGTTCTAGTTGAAGGATCAACAAGGTCATAGATTTTGGCACATTCAGACACACTAGAATCAGTCCCAGCTAAATTTGGCCTGACCAGCTTCTTGTCACACGCATATGTGTCAAGAGCTAAAATTAAATTCAATTTAACATTATACTATGAAAATAATTCCTTGTTTATTTAATTGCATACAATTGTTGATAAATATAATTAGCTAATACGGCGTTGATTTGTGAACAAAAACTTTTTAAGAAGCCTTATTAATATATTTTGAAGATAAAGTACTACTGCTCAGTCAACTTAAATCTCAACATTGTTAATAATCATATCATATTTCATGTATATATATATATTTAAATACACATACTAATACTAATACAAATATACTAATAATTTGTTTGTATGTTTGACGTTCAATCACACATTAACTACTGGTCGGATTGGGTTGAAATTTGGTATGATGATAGCTCACATTCCTGATTAACGTATAGACATATTCTTATCTTAAAAATTCTTTCGGGCTCCATCCCATTGGCTCTAGAGTTTCCCATGTTAACCACATGAGTAATTTTTAAGTTTGCATGTTATTGTCTGAATTTTATTGAGCGTTTTTTATTGCCTGTTATTCTATTGCCTCTGTACTTTATTGCCTGTTGTTCTATTGCTTCTGTATTTTTATTGTCTGTTATTTTTTTGTATGTATTTTATTGCCTGTTAGTTATAACCTGTCATTATAGCCTTTCATTGTCTGTTATTGCTTGCCATATTTATAGCTTGTATTTATAGCCTGTTATTTTTAGTCTTTCATTGCCTGTTATTGATTGTTTTTTTGTCCGCATTGCCTGTTATTATTGTCGGTTGTTTTTCCTTGAATATCATACTTACCCAAAGTTTTTTCAAGTTAAACTTATCATTATATGTTGTTTGATATTAATTGCATTAGTAATGTAGTGTCGTTGTAAATTATGCCATCTTGTAAATTGATTATGCTAACTACTATTGTATAAATGGTGTTACCGTGAATAAATAAATAAATAAATGAGTATATTTAAATGGAATGAAATAATTTTGCCTGCTGTTTCAACTGGGTCCTCATGAACCCAAAAAAGTGGTTTTCAAAGTGATGTCTGTCCGTGTATCTGTGTCTGTCTGTGTGTGTGGATATGTACAGAGCTACAGACCATACCTATGGTTCGATTTTGATGAAATTAGGTATGGTATATAGGTACTAATCCATGGTATCTTCGGGCGGTTTTTTATTTTTTTTAATTGTTTTATTTATTGGTGATTTTACATTTTTTGTACGTGTCAGATTAATGATAGTGTATATTTTTTTTCTCATTTCCTCGTTTACTACCTAAGTGAATTCCACTAACAAGTACCAACAATATCAATGTTTATTTTTTACCTGTTTGTTCTAGGTCATCAACTAAGAATGAATGTTTTATTCCAATTGTGTTAAATAGGCTAGCCTATATATAATGTGTTTCTCAACCTGTGCAAGTTCACACTGCAGTCTAGGTTCATAGAGATATTCTCCACACAATTTTTTTCTTGTCTACTGTAGGTATTTAAGAGGAGATGAAGAGAGTGATACTCAAACGCTTTTTGGGAAAACGGATCAAACCCATTTCTGGGCATGCCGGGAATCGAACAAGTCTCTCCCGCACTGAGGTCCGAGACGCAAACCAATTTAATAATTGGGTGAAGAGAAATGCTCTATGTCCATGTTTAAACATCAGGATTGTTTTGTATTTTGAGATCAACAGGTTCAAGAGAAGAAATGTTGGTGAGTTATTCAGTAACTTAAACGGCCAGTATTCCAGATTTGGAAGTACTGTAACTTAGTAGGGAGTCGGTTTACAATAGAGAGAGCATAGAAACCAATTTAGGCAGGGCACTAGATTTTAGTAGGATCCCATATTCATAGATTTAGAATAATAACATTATAAAAAAAAATTTTTTGCAACTTAGCACAGTAAAATTTTCTTTTGGATCAAGACATCCTTATTAAGGTCAGATTATTCAATCTTAAATATCCTTATAAGTTATAGTTAACATAACTTATGTAACTTATTTTACTTATGGCCAACATTGGTCTTATAATTTATTAGTTTAGTAACTTTTATGTCAGTACAATATATATCGAGGAAAAATATGTTTCTAGTAACAACTGTACCCTATTTGTATTTCGAAGTAAGTTATATGCGCACTAGTCCATAAACTTACCTTATTAACTAATTCAAAATCCCGATCAATTTCCTTCATGCCTTTTCCATTATCAAACAGAATTTTGAAATAGTACAGCAAGTTTGGTTAGTTATGTTGACTTTGTCATATATGTACCTTGCAAATTACGGCAATAAAAAGTTTCTGATTTCTGATTAGGTTAGTTAAGAACAGTTTCATTTCTTAATCCTACGTAGGCCTAACTTACCTATAAGTTATTATTTTTGCCTAAACAAGAACAGTAGTCAATTTGTAATTTAACTGCGTTTGTAGATATTAAAACAGGAGGAATATGGATCGTAAACTTAAAGGAAAACAAATAAGTTATTGAAATATCGAAAAAATCATGGATATGTAAGTTAATAATGAATGTTCCCTTTAACAGAAAAGTAACGAATAACTTAGATATAAGTAGGGGGTATAGCTAGAAAGCCTAATTTTCCTCCTAAAAAATTATCAGAGGCTTCAAAAGGTAAACATACATCTCAAACTACTTAGGGCCTAGGCTGTTAGCTTTGCTGGACTTCCCCTAAGCAAGGAAACTGGCAGTACTTAGGCCTATCTTCCAGATGATCATTTTTTTAACTCTGTTAGGTCTAAGTAGGCCTACTGTGTAGATAACTCAAACTTTATGAAGACACATCGACCTAAACAGTCGTGAAGACAGCTAATTACTGGTGAGAAACCTAAAAAAGCTACATGAATTTCGAGACTGACAATGATAAGTTATAGCCTAATCCAGCAATCATGTGAGTGACTACTTTTAAATTTCTACCATTCTCTCCAAATTAAGAAAATGAGAGGTTCTCTAGATTCCCTAATGTCACTTAAGATTTAGAAGCAATCAAATTTAACTTAGCCTAAACTTAATAAGTAGGTAAAGTGATTTTATCAATTATGTTACCACAAGGGCCTAAAAAGGCTTTTAATCTTCAAATTGTTAAGATAGTATACAGAATTAACAGTAACAAATAAAAATCTATTCTAGACTTGGATTTGACAGGACCTAGATGACATTGAAGTCATTTAAATGACATTGAACCTAACCTAAACGGCCTACATGTAAACTAACCTGCTCTAATTCTTTTTCGATTTCTGAAGCCCTTATGACGAGAGGCCCTCTGACTGCATATTCCATAACCTTTATCTGGGGATTCATATTTTCGTAAGTAACACATTTTGCACAAGAAGCGGCTTGAGCTGACATATTCTTGGAGTCCACTGTAGTTGTCATCGTAGGTTGTAATACAGACGACACTCGTGCGCTGTTAGAAAAAGACCGCTTTTGACACGATTTAGGAATGTCAAACAAATTACGCCTGTTGATTATCTTGCGTGAGCTGTTGCAAGCAACGTCCTTGGTGAACACTACTAATCTCAAGGATGACATTTTGGAGAGTCTGATAAAACGTACAAGTTACAAGTACTATAATAAATTACTCTGCAGGCCTGTTATCCACACAAAAATCAGCTGTCTTTCTGCACTACCAATACCAAACCAACAACAACAACAACAACTGTCTGCTCTAACACTTTAACACATTTCACTCGTATTCGATTGATAATGACAACGAATTGGCGATCAGATTACAAAACTTTTAATTGCTCAAGTTTGTTACACAACTAATACTGAATGATGTTCAGTTCAGAGCTCGAAAGCTCCTCTAGCTCGACTGTTTTGAAATCCGTCAATTTTGGCACTGCACTGGCGCATCTTGGCACTATACCGGTCTTTGGGGGGAGGGAGGTGGGACGGGCAGTCAATACTATAGTTCAAAGTCTTTTGCTGGCATACAAGAATTTCGCCAATATTTAATTAACAAGCGTTTTCTTAATCAACCCGGAAATTGATTGTTTTTTTAATAGCTTAAAAAGATTAGTTGATTTTGCACATAAAGGAACCAATTAAATATTTTGCTGAAAAAGGAGAATACTGCATTAGGATTTGTGAGTTATAACTCATTGGGGGAAATTTAATAAGGCAAAAAGAAATAAGTCCCCAAAACTAAATTATTTAAAAAAGACACATTGTACTTTCTTTGTATTGTAGGCCCTAATCTATATATTAATTTGGAACTGTTTTTCTTTGTGACAGCTATTTTGAGAGAACAGCTGGGCGTAGAAACTCGGTAGAGGTGTCTAAAGAAAGGTCTTGGTCTGTAGATGAGCCATCAAAAGAGAAACATAGTGAATTCCCTCGGGGCTCTGCCCCAGTGGCCTTTAAATACCCATCCCATGTTATTCTTATGGAGGAAAACGGGGTTTTTGTCACAGTTAATTTGAGAGAACGGCTGGGAGTAAAAGAGAAACGAGACAAATTTCCTTGGGGCTCTGCCCCAGACGCCTTTAAAGTTCACTCTGAAATTTTGTTAACATTACGACCATATGGAAAATTTTACACTACTTTTCATGAACCAGCTGTTATTCAAAGGTCTACTGAAACTGTCAAAATGAAATGTTTACATTATTATTTATGATTTTAAATTGATTCTCCACTGCATGGCAAGTTTTTTATAGTTTCAACAAAATGATGAATTTATTATACGTTTAAAATGTTCTGTTCAAAAATCTATGCTTTATTGCTCTTAGACAATTTTAAATTATGAAATAAGTGTGACATATCAATTTTGAAAGAATAGATATTATTCCTTATCGGGTTAGCTTATATATATTGTAAGGTTGGCACTTGCCTTTTTTGCCAACTTTCAATCACCATTTATTTTTTAATGCAAGAAAGAACACCAGAAATTCATTTATTGGTACAAAAGTTTTCGATAATCGGGTTGAAAATTGTGTCATAGATGAGTACGTTGAGGATGAGAGCTGTGTTCAAGTTTTGGAATAGACTAACTACGGAGTATGTTTCATCTATGGTTTTGTTGAAGTAGTTGAACTAATGTCAATTCAGGTATTTAAAAAAATGTGTACAGGGTTTTTACTTTGATGTACACATGTAGCTAGGTCGAACAACGCATCTAAAACTCACTATATACAAAACATTCGGAAACACAACAGTGTCATCACATCTCATCGCATAATTTGTTACCAAGGCTGGACTAGGTTATGGATTTGGTTCCACAAATGTTCAAGATTTGTGATCAAATTTCCTACAATTATGGTTCATTCCATCCACGAAATACATGCACAGCTTTATGTGATCGATATGGCCAGGGCAAAACTACCCCATAAGTTAACGAATTATAAAGTAAGAACAGGATGATTAAATACATGGGTCGATGTGGCAAGAGAAGGAATTAAAATTGCTTCGATCGAAGTAAGAATGTTACTGCTTTCTGGAGAATCAGATATTTTTATCAAATACAAAAAAAAACTAATTTAATATGCTGATAAAATTCTGTGTTTTTATGACCAAAGATGAAGATTTACTTACAAATGATTTTCCTAAAGCAGATGGAATTAGTTGGTAGTAATAAATATTGACTCTTTCCGTAACATGATATACTAATTATATGAACTCCTTCTCCCATATAGTGAAAGTGGCTTTGACATGAAACAAACTCATGAAAAAACAATTATAAGACTCCTAAAAAACCTTTTGGGCAACCTAAAGCCGATAAAAAGTTAGGAAATATTGTGTTAAACGAATTCATCAATCACGTTTTTAGGGAACACAATCATCATACTTATTATTGCTTATCCTCCCTTAATTTAACTAAGATTTTAATGACTTCACCCTATCTATCGCAGTTAGCTGAATTTACATAAAACCTCAAGATTAACCGTCGATTTCGACGGGGTTCCACTAGTATGAAAAGAATGGTTAGTAGAGTAGCATAGCATATTATATAAATCTTGGTACAGTATGTAAATAAAAATACCCCGCCGCAGCAAACCTGCCGACTAAGCGAATTTCCATTTGTCAGAATTGATTTTGAATAAATTAAATTTATTAAAATATTAGGTTTAACGAGTACTTATAGGTTTGCTGCTACGAGAAAACTAATTAAGTGTGTTTTTTTATAAAATATAAATAGCTTGGTATAAAATAAATCAATTTGCCAAGTTCTGATCAAAATCCATGAAAAAGCAAAACTACAACATTTTACATAATTCTCCTCAAGAAAAACATGGGAATTTTAAATTTACATTTTTTTGAATTTTCTCCGTTACCAATTAACCGGACAAAAACACTTTGATATACTAAATTATTTGTTTTTTAAGTTCTTTAATAAGGTCAAATTAGAAATTGGGAAATTTTTTGTTTTGAGGGTCAAAAATGAGAAAACCCAATTGTTACCCCATAAAACCCCGAAAACTTGGTTCCCATGGTCAGATCACGCTGATTTGCGAACTCATTCAAGTTTATCCTGCCTTACACCTTTAAACCAAATTTGATCAAAATCAGATGAAAATTACTCTAGTTATCGCGTTCACGGACACATATATAAAAATTTGAACAACTGGTTTTTTTGGCCTCTGGGGACATCAAAATTAAAATACCCCCGCCGCAGCAAACCTGCCGACTAAGCGAATTTCCATTGTCTGAATTGATTTTCATTAAATATATTTAAATAATATAAGGTTTAACGAGTACCTAGGTTTGCTGCTACAAGGAAACTAATAAAGTGTGTTTTTTAGTCAAATATTAATAGCTTAGTGTAAAATAAATTAATTTGCCAAGTTTGATCAAAATATATCCATAAACAAGCAAACTACAACATTTTACAATATTCTCCATAAGAATAACATGGGAATTTTAAATTTACGATTTTTTAAATTTTCTCCGTTACCAATAACCGAACAAAAATACTTTGGTATATTAAATTATTTTTTTTAAGCTCTTTAAAAAGGTCTAAAGAGAAATTGGGAAATTTTGTGTTTTGAGGGTCAAAAGTGAGAAAAACCAATTTTTACCCCATAAAACCCCCCGTAAAACCACGTTCCATGGTCCGATCATGCTGGTTCCCGAACTCATTCAAGTTTATCCCGCTTTACACCTTTAAACCAAATTTCATCAAAATCGGACAAAAATTACTCAAGTTATCGCGTTCACGGACACATATATATATATATAAATCTCTATATATATATACATATATAAAAATTTGAACGAATGGTGTTTTTGGCCTCTGGGGAGATCAAAATGAAATAGTAAATCGGTCCCGGGCCTAGGTCTTACCATGCCACCTACGGTAATAGCTACTTTAGGGAAATTCGCTAAAAGTAAATTGGTTCTGGCCTTAGGTCTTACCAAACCACCTACAGTAATATCTACTTTAGGGAAATTCGCTGAAACTCAATTTTTACAAATATAAGCTTCAAATTTGCTGTTGTTTTTAAAATTATTTACCTATAAAAAGATTTTGTAGGTACCTTATTTGAACATTTATTTATTGTCACCAAAACAATTGATTATAATGTGTAAATTAAAATACTATGATAAATATAGTACTTCTCATATAGTTTGATTTTTTTAGATTTATTTATCTACAATCATCCATTTATTTTATGCTTGACATTGACAAGTGATTTTTCCTGTAATATTGTTACCAACATCAAATTATATCAAGCCAAAATAGATTATATCCCTGCAAACCTGCAGACTAAGGAAATTTTCATTTCCCTGATTATATTTTCACTAAAATGTATCCTTGAAAATTACAGATTTATTCCCTATATATTTGAATAAAATTAGTGTAATGAGTACTTAGGTTAGGTTTACTGCTACAGGGAATGTATGCATACAGTGTAGAAAAGAAGTTGTACGGCCATGCATTTTATCGCTTAAAACTTATGATGATAACCTACGGGTGATGGATTTTACGTCCAGCTTGATGCCATAGACGTTGAAACCGGTCGCCATGTAGACAATTTTAGGAGTACTCAGACGAAAATAAGGTAATTTATCCTCTTCTATATTAATTTAAATTGGAACAACTTTGATCTCTCACTCTTTTTTTTATATTTTTATGAAGGCCAAATTAAAACAAAAGTAAAACCTGAACAAATTATTTTTTGTAAGAAAAAAATCTACGAGTGTTGTGTTCAGAATGTAGGTAATGATAAAAATAAAAGGGGGAAATGTTACTGCCCCTTCATATTTACTAATTATGAACCCGTTTAGGCAGTTGAATTACCCATGTAATATCAACATCAAGATAATTTGTTCAGCTGAGCGACAAAATAGCCAAACCCGTATGCCTGGTGGATTTCTTCTGCTATTTCTAAGTTGTGTACCATCCATTTTTGCTAGGTTGAAATCAATCATACGAGGCTCATCATACCATGTAAGGGCCGTTTATACGTATACCTTCTTAGTTTGCATGTACGCCGCAACAAGGTTCCTCGCCACTACCAGCATAATTTGTGAACAGCACAGTGCTATTCACAACTCTGTAACTGACGTGTATACTTTGAATGTCTCAACACTTTTTTAACTATTGAATCTCCTGTCGCATGCGAGATAAGGTCAGTGATAATTTTTTCCTGCAGACATAGAGAGTAAAGTGCAGAAATGGGTCAGGGAGTTAAAAAATGCCTGTGAAAATGTCTGTTTTGGAAGGAACTGTGTTTTTGGTGGGTACAGAGACTTCTCACAGAAGACCAAAAAGAAAAAATGGGGTTCTTGGCTATTTTTACACTCTATAACCCATTTTCACAATTAACCCTCAGTGATTGCTTAGGGACATAACCTTCAGTCATCTGGCGATGGATGTCAGCATCGGTTATGTTTCTTGTTTTCGAAAAATTATCACTGACCTTATCTTGAATGTAACAGAAGATTCAATAGTTACATGATTAAACACACAGCAAAATGTACAAATCAGCTACAGAGCTGCAAATGATGTAATTCTGTTCACCAATGATACCAGTAAGTGACAAGCCGCCTAGTTGCAACTTACACATGAATTAAGAAGTTATACGCAAAAACTGCTCTTATTTATAAAACGACCCTCGTATCTTAGCTTTCTTTCCTTTAAACTAGTGTGCAATGTTTACCTTAATCTATATTTTAGGTAGTCAAGCTTTGTTATTTATTTATTAATGTTCAAGCAGGGATATAATAAGTTATAGAGTACAATAAAAACAATTATTTATTCATGATTCACTTATAAAAATAGAAAATGATCAAAATATTCATTTATAATCACAACTCATTTCAGATAAAATATTTACAATTAACTAAATAGTTACGAAAGAAAAAATTTATTTTTTTGTTAATTAAAATATATATTTATTTGAAAATCTTTCTTATAAAAAAAAGCTACGGCCACTTTACATTCTCGAATGATTTAAATGCCTTTCATACAATTTCAGAAATTATTTTGAACCATAATACTGCAGTTAATGGGTTGAACATGTAGTATGACTTATGTAGCAAAAATCTCTTTCTTGGAAATTCCTGGGAAGTGTGTACGGACAATAATACATCCAACATGTTTCGAATTGTTCAGCTAGGTATCAATCCAGCTTAGTATAATAAATTGATTAGATTTTATATTGACAATATACATGGTCAAAGTCAGGAGGGAACTACTATGTCTTACTTAGTATCAGTCAATTTGCTTTACATTATATGAAATCTGGTAAATATAATACCAGAAAATTTACACACCATTTTCCAGCATCGATCAATAGATTACTCCAAAATTTGTACAAGTTCATCACGTTAATACTGTTGCTGGAATATTAGAGTTTACACATGGTATACAATTTACAGACATAAACTCATAGTTTTAGGTACAAAATTCATTAAAAACCTAGAATACGATACACTCCTGAACAAGTTTCCTTGAAGGTTTTCAGGATGTTTGTTACGATAGCCGGCTTAAATAGGAAACCATTCCAACACAAGAATCAACAAACTTTTGTTATGGTGAACTTGTATGTTTCTTCAGAGTAGACGCTTTCCCATTTAGGTGAACCTCCTAACAAATACCATCAAAACTTGGGTGCTATGTTACATCCTAATCCTCTTCTAGAAGGTTGTTTTGAGTATTTAGAGGTAACAAACTATCAAAACCAAATCACAATAACACATTTACAATATGTTCATAGGCTGTAGTGCCATGGTCTAGTGGACTGTCATGGTCTGTCGTTGGAACAAGTCCATGGTTAGAGCTGAGAGGAACATAGGAATGGAGTGATGATGGTGGAGATGGAGGTCGATCATCTCTCCGCAACTGCTGGAGAATGGAGTCTCTAGTAGCTCCATGCCTCCACTGGACATCTGGACAAAAATTTCATATTACATAGGGTAACCATTCTACAATATCACTGAAGAAGATCCCTTTTTACGGACCAGGTATATACAAATACTTATTCAAGAACATACTAGAATGAGCCACTTGTAGAGTGTGCTAAAGTCTAAAATTTCCTCCATTAGATGTTATTACTGACTGGGATAGTGCAAACATCATAAAAGACGCTACAGCTTATAATAGGTGGGTCCTTTCTCTTTAGCTTAAAAAGTTTTGGCTTAAAAGTACACTCAACAGAAATACATCATTTACACGCATTTACTGACAAACTCGGTCAATAGCTTACTATGTTACCTATGTTCAACTTTGACGTGAGAATGGAATGTCTGAGTTAAAAGGTCAAACAAGACACACTAATCTGAACTATTTTTCAGAAAAGGATGTCAACTATTCTCTTGCATACATAACAGTCCTAGAGGCAATAAATTGGTGGAAATCTATCTTTACACACAAATTTCTTTTCAAAACATTACATGTGTTTGTTCTGCACGTGCTTCACAACAGGGTAGGAATACAGTAAGAGAATAATGAGGTTCTTTTAAATGTACTGTAAAAAAACAGTTACAAACAGACAAAATTAGTTTTCTCGATTTATTTTATACACAACAATTTTAAATCTCCCATATTGAACATAAAATAATTTAAGCCAACAAAATGCAAAAAATGATTTTTCAGTTAGTACAAACCTTGAAGAGTAGATGGTCATCAGGGGCCTCCGCGTACAGATTGCTCAGCCGATAGATCTTGTTGGCCAGTCCATCTACTTTGTAGCCAAATAGCTGGTACACCGCCTCACGGAACTCATGGCTGGTTGTCTTGAACACTTCTCGTAGCCTCTGGTTCTGCCTTTCAAAAGACTTAATCTTCTCTTTCAGTTCTAAAAATGATTTCTATATTAGTTAAAAATTCTGTTATTACATTATTTAGAAAAGATCGCTTATACCATGAAGAATGTTGTGGCTGATAGGTTGAACAGCAGGCTTACTGACAATAAGGTTTTTATATTACTACATTGGGTTTAACAACATTTTTTTAGATGTGCTAATAGAACTATCAGATACATAACCGTCAAGAGCACCAACACTAAAAAATAATATGAAAAGGGAAACAGTGAGTTGGAACTGTGTTGCTAGCCTAGTGGTTAGCATCTCGGACTTCGGTGCTGGAGGGACGGGTTCAATCCCCGGCACATCCACAAAACTTAAAAGGGTTTGGACCGCTTTCCCTTAAAAGTGTTTGAAATTATCTCATTATAAAAATGCCACTGGCGTAGATACGTGCAAAAAAAACAGTCAAGAGTAAGCCAATTAGAGGCTGGCAATGATTGAGTGCCTGCAGTTGGGAAGTTTCTGGAATTGCCACATAGTAAGTTCATCCTTTTACGTTCTCCCCTTACACGTAGTATATACAGAGAAAATATTGTTTTTGTCAAAATTTTCGAGTTTGAGTTTTTGGTGAAAATATTTGTTTTGAGTAGGTACCCCTGAACCCATAAACATGGCTTTCCTAGTGATGTGTGATATTAAAACTAACAAACAAATCAAACAGCTCAGATTATCTTAATTAAATTTTAGTACTTTCAGGGTCCTTTAACTCCTTTAAGGTCCTTTATGATTGGGAAAATTAAGTGACGAAGAATCAGATGGGTCGGACTTGTTTTGAGAAGAGGCGAAGAATGCAGACAGAAAAGAGTATTAGAGTACTTTATTTAGTTATTTGGGACAAAGTCAATGTCGTTGGTTGTATTTTACTTGTTCACTCACCCTCCATCTCCTTGGTGCTTGTAGAGGCCATTCTATCATTGACCACGGAGGTGAGGTCGTGAGTCTGTCCCTCCTCCATCAGTCGTAGTCTCTCTCTCAACCTAGCCAGCTCCGCGTGAGCAATCTCCAGCTCTGACATCTGCTTCTGCTCTGCCTCCGCCACTGGGTTCATTCTGTTGGTGACACAGAGAGTTAGGTTATAAACATCAAAAAAATTAAAAAAATTACACACAATCGAATAAGCTACATTGTAAAACAAAATACCAACAACCGTAATCCTAAAAAGCCAGCAACTTATCCTTAAAACAAGAAAAATTACCTCCCACATAAATGAACCATTACCAACCAGTCATCTTCTCAATGGTTGTTATCAAGTATTCAAGTCAAAACTCACTGCATTCCATAACTGATTACTCGTATTATGAAAACTGTCAGAGGACGTAATTTGGTAAAAATCTACTTTTATCAAATTATATGATAAGGAAACATAGTTAAACTTATTTTTGCCAATGTTTTTCTGCCATAAAAGTGTCGGGTTTTATTTAAGTACCCAAGCAACATCATTTAAGAATAATAAATATGAATATTGTTCTGCAGAGTGCAAAGGCATTGAGTGAATTTGAATGCTTGGTTATAAAATAAATTACGCAACACATATAGTGCTAAGCTAACCATCTGATTTCATTCAATAATCTGGTTAATCAGTGGTTATTACAGGTAAATAATGCAATGCTACAATAACACTTACTTAAAGTGCAGTATCTTGCAGTCTCGCATATCAAAGTCTCCCTTGAGTGAACGATACTCCATTTGGATCTTCAGCTCTTCAACCTCCTTCATGAGTGCGTCTTTTTCCTTGGTCAAAGCCGCATTCTCCGCAACCAACTTGTCTAGACGCTCGGCAGCTGCTTTGTTACTGATCCCTGAAGAAGACAAAAAATATAAAACTGACGAAATAAACTTGTTTTAAACATGTAAATCTATCATCTATAGTGTGGTTGAAAAGTCCCCGAACAGTGTAATATATTTTTTACCAATATAGATAAAGTTACGAGACTTGGTTTAACAATAATAACCATAAATGTTTGTCTACTATTTTAAGTTATTATCACTTTTATATCCCTTAAGACGGCCCACGAGGAGTCAGACAAAATTCTTAAATAGCAGCATAGTTCGAGTTTGGTATATATACCTACCTAGCCCCAGGACTAATTTACTTTTTCGTTTTGAGGTCCCCAGAGGTTAAGAACACTATCTGTTCAAATTTCTTATGTACCTATAAGTGTGTCTCCGTTAGCACGATCAGGGCCGTGTTAAGGGTCTGTGGAACCCTGGGCAAACCCAAGAGCAGCGCCTCCTTTTTTCCCAGTGCTGGCGAGCAGTGGTTTGGGGGCACCCAACGGGCCCTGGGCATACGCCCAGTCTGCCCGTTTATAAAAGCGGGCCTGAACACGATAACTCAAGTTAAAATTGTATGATTTTTATCAAATTTGTTACAAACAAGTTAACTATGTTTATAACGAGTTCATAAACCAGCATGATTGACCTATGGTGGGAACAGGTTTTATGGGAAGTAGTATAGGGTAAAAATGGGGGTTTGCAATTTTCAAAGGTCCTGAAAATATAGAAATTTGCAATTTCATTCCAAAAACCATTTTGAAGGGCTTAAAAAACAAATAATTTAGTATATAGACAAATTGTTATACGCTAAATGGTTAGGCAGACAAGTTCAAAAAGCTGTAAATTTAAATTTCCCATGTTATTCTAGTGCTATTTAAATTAGAAATAAATATGACAACTTCAAGGATATATTGGAGTGCAAATCTAATCAGGCAAATGGAAATTCACTTAGCCTGCTGGTTTGCTGTGGGAATTATGGACCAACAGCTAAAACTGAATCGAGACATTGCAGTATTAGCAAACCAACTATTTAGCTGTTACTAATCCAGTCCATAACCGGCCTGTATTGAAGAGTAGAGTGTAGGTATAGTTACCCTCAGGGTCGACCACTGCCAGACTAGGGTCTGCCTCCAGCTGCTCCATGCGCTGTTGGTAGCCACTGACAAGTCTCTCCAGAGCCTCCAGTCTGGCATTAGGCAGAGACTCCAGTGAGGCAGACGTCATCGTCACCTCCTTCTGGCACGAGTCCACCAGGTTACGCAGGTCATCTCTCTCCTACAACACAAACTAGAACGCTAGATCCCAGAATGTCATGGCATTATCACACAGCTAAAGCCTCAGGTAAATGGCAGGATTTGAAGTTTGCACCTCGGGACCACGGCTCTGCGCATCAGCATTGCACCATCTCGCTCCCTATCATAATCATTAGCATAGCAAAGTCCTTAGGTTTAATTAGTGCTTTGTAAAATTCTCATAGTGCCATTAATTTCTTCTCAGTACGCAAAGCATTGATCTTGATCTGAGAGTTTATGAGATTGTGTCATTAATAACTAGGGATGGACGAGATTGGATTTTTAGTTCGAGACGAGACGAGACGAGATTTTTTATTTCTCATAAAATTTCGAGACGAGATCGAGACGAGATTTCTCTTCTCATACACAACGGGAAATGCACGTTCGAAATTTTTACCTGATTTTGTAACATTGTTAGATGACTGTTTAAATACTAAAATAATGATAATAGGCAAGAATATTTACAATCTTTCATTAAATAACATCAGCATAACATTTTTTTATTAATCACGCCTAACTTATTAAAAATGCCTACGATTAGGAAACATGGTGATATCAGTTAGGATAGAGTTCAACTTATCCTAAAATAAAATAAATCATAAAATAAAAGCAATATTAATTTTTATAAAATAGTTACTTGTTTTGACTTTTTTATAGTAATAAAACATTCCTCACACTGCTTACACTTAACAAAACTTCTCAAATGTTATTAAAGTAATATTATTAAAATAATGAAAGTAATATTTACATTAAAAGAATTAAAGTAATATTTACATTAAAAGAATTAATTAAATAAGAACGCCTTCGAAAAGGAAACGCAACTACAACACGCTCCTGTATTGCGGGTATTGCATTGACTTTCTGCAGGCGTTTTTAATTTTTTTTTTTTTTTTTTTTTTTTTCTCGTCTCGATAAAAATCTCGGCCAAAAAGTAATCTCGTCTCGAGTAACGAGATTGAAAATTTCCCGAAATTTCGAGACTTGACCATCCCTATTAATAACCCATTTACATCCACCATAGCCTACACCTATACGATAAATAACTGAGTGTACGATAATTTTGGGCCGGCATGAACTAGGCCAGTTGTATGATTCAGAACAAAACATTGACCATGGCAACTTCCTTTAAAATATAAGTTTTTCCTGGAATCAGTGAGTAATATTTCATTTCAGAACTGGTATCGAATCGAGAAATTCTGTTATCGCCCTATCCCTATTTAAAATGTAAAATTATTGATATTCCACTAGGACGTAATTCAAGCCATTGCCTTGAGTTTTGAGGCACAGTTTTACTTTGTTCCAGCTATGCGTAACAATCGACACTGCTCCTACCTACACGTTATTATAGGACTGGCGACGAGTCGACGTATTCTGTCAGCGGACCCGAGTTTCGATTCCCAAATCTCGTTAATCGAATCCGAATCTTGTCTCAAGATTCGGTGGATTTGAGATTCGGATTCGACACATCCCTAATTTGAACTCTGTTTTTCAAGAATTACAAATATTTATGTTTAACTTACCTATACTCGTGCTACCACTAATTTTAGTTTTTAAATTTCATAAACCTATACGTTATTATCCGACTTCATCCGAAATTCTCAAAACACTTTTACAAGGGTGAAGATGATGTAGCTCCACCTGAGCGCATGATATTCCGAGAACTTCTAGAGTTCTGAACCTTCATCAAATCAAAGTAATTAATTAGTTAAAACCAGGGACTAGATTTTGTATCAACCTACCGATTTGATCGGCCCTTCTGAGCACTCTGGTGAAGAAATGTATGTGAGTGTGGCTGATTCTAGAGATAGGCCTGACCTGTTTAGCGAATTTCCTTATAGGGAAGTAGCTATTACCGTAGGTGGCACGGTAAGACCCAGGCCTGGGACCAATTTACTTTTTCATATTGATGTCCCCAGAGGCCAAAAACACAGTTCGTTCAAATTTGTATATATGTACTAGCTGACCCGGCGAACTTCGTATCGCCTAAGTTATAGGTTTCCCCTAAGACAGACCGATGGAAAGAAAGTACCATTACGTTTAATTTTCAAGATGATCTCGTTCGCATCGCTCAATCACGTCCTGGTTGGAGCTCGTTCGCTACGCTCACTCACCTTTGGGTTGGAGCTCGTTCGCTACGCTCACTCACCTTTAGGTTGGAGCTCGTTCGCTGCGCTCACTTGCCTTCAGGTTAGCTCGTTCGCTACGCTCACTCGCCTCCAGGTTGAAGTTCGTTCGCTACGCTCACTCACCTTTTGGTTGCAAATTAGCTGTTGTCATAAATGTAAAAGAAATAATAGTGCTGCACCCTGTTGGTAATCCTTGTAACTTTAATGCTATTGAACATCATAGAACAGAACCAACTTGTTTAATTGAAACAGCTGTTAAGATTCATTAATTCCATTTCTCATAAGGTTAACATGAGAAACTCCAGAGCCACTGGGGCGGAGCCCTTTTAAGAATTTCGAAACGGGAAATAGTTTACGTCCGATTCGCATACCTACAGAATTTACACACCAAATTTCATAACGATCGGTGAAGTCGTTCCGGAGGAGTTTGCAGACAAACACTGTGACACGAGAATTTTATATATTAGATATTAATATATGCGTCAGTGAACTTGGCTTGCCAGGTAAATAAGAATGAGGCAACAGTTTTAGTCTCATGACCAAGCCAACATATGATAGCAAGCCCTCTGTGACTGATTATGACCAAGCTTTTGAAGAACTTGAAACAGCTTTCAAAGAGAGAAAACTTCACAGACTTATTTGCTCCCCAATGGGCTGCGTGCGAGATCTCATTGATCCTCTACATTTTGCGACTAAAATAGTTGGTTTTCAAAAGAACACAAATGCAAAAATACTAATTGTAACCAATGATCAAAGGACAAGCAGAAGACCTCTATGGAAAGGACTGACTCATACCGAGTTTGTTGATAAATTACAACTAGCAATCAACAGATGTCGATCTTCAGAGAATAGACAGCAGATCTCTGGAGGGGGTATCAGGATGGGTTCTCCTTGGGGCGCGCCACATTCACCTCCAGTAATCCCTGTCTGCAGTTCACCTGTTGAGCAGAACCATCAGCAATCTGGTGGATACACAGCCCGTGTTGGTCTCCCTACAGTGGATCTGCAGTCTTCAACAAGCCTGTTTTCCAATGACACATCACATCACCAAAAAAACTCCCCTGTGAAGCCACAGGTACCAATTACATAAATTTTAAAAACTTTTGCGTAATGCGTAATTCAAATCATGGTTCTTTTTTTAAATAATAATAGCAGAAAACCCAGAAAGAAATCTTTTGTATGGCCTATCTGTGAGGAGGCTAGGTTAAGTAAAAAATATGCATGGTTAATGCACTTGAATATACAAGGAGGAATTACAGATAAAAAAAATGAATTGGACCTACTTTTGCTTGAGTCTAATATATCTGTGCTTAGCTTAAATGAACATTGGCTTAAAAAAGATCAAATTAATATTTTAAACGGTATAGAAAATTACACAGTTGCTGCTCATTTTTGTAGAGAAAATACAGCTCATGGAGGCTCATGTATATTAATAAAAAATAATTTGAATTTCTTTGAAAGAAAAGATCTTTGTATATTCAGTGATGAGTTAGTTTTTGAAATGTGCTGTATTGAGATAGTTTGTTTCAATGCAATTATTATTTCCATTTATAGAATTCCATGTATTTCAAATTTTAGAACTTTTTTAAATAAATTAGAAAATGTGTTTATTTTACTGCAGAAAGAGCTAGGTTTTAAGGATGTTTATATTGTAGGTGACTTTAATATTGACATTTTAGATACATGTACTTTTCCACAACAGAGATTGGATTTTTTGAATTTGTTAGATATTTTTGGTCTAGGTATAAATATAGAATCACCGACAAGAATTACGCCGAACAAAATTTCATGCATAGATAATATCATAACATTCAAAATTAAGCCAATTGATACAAAAATCTGTATGAATATTGAAACTGGTCTTTCTGACCACAGGTCTCTTTTTATTTCTTTACAGGGAAATGATGAGGATAGACAAAAATTACACACTTCTTTTAAGCAAAGAATTTTTTCTGAAAGAAATATTAATTACTTTATAAACTCTATCAGCAAAATGAAATGGAATACTACAAAAAATAACGACCTTTTTCTAAACAGTAATAATTTTTTTGGTTCTTTTCAAAGAATTTTTGAGGAATCTTTCCCTTTCAAACCTGTTAAAATTAAAAAGAAAACAGTAAATAAAAAATGGGTAACACAAGGTATTCAAATTTCTAGTCAAAAGAAAAGAATGTTAAGCAACTTAGCAAAGAGTTCTACTGATGTTAACTTTATTGGCTATGTAAAAATGTACAAAAAAGTTTTTAAATCTGTTTGTAACCTAGCAAAGAAAATGTATAATTGTAGTTATATAAATAAGGCTAGTAATAAGACTAAAGCAGCATGGGCTGTGGTTAAAGCCGAACTTGGTTACAAGCCAATCAATAATTCTTTTCCTGATTTAGTTATTGATAGCAAGTTAGTCTCAGATGGCACAGTTATTGCAAGTCACTTTAATTCTAAATTTATTGAGGTAGGGAAGGATTTAGGGGTAAATTTTTCCAAGAGTAAAGCAATGGAACTAGTAAAAAAATCAATCACACATAGGCCTGATATTCCAATTTTTAACTTTAGTTTAGTTACACCTCAGCAAGTTATCAAAATAGTCAAGTCACTAAGTGATAAAAAAACGGCTGGTTGGGATGGGATTTCAACTACTATGATAAAAAAAGTAATTAAGTATGTTGCTGAGCCATTGTCCATAATCATCAATCAGACTTTAACCAATAGCACTTTCCCTAATCATTTGAAGTATGCAGAGGTGAAGCCATTATTTAAAAAAGGTTCTAAGAGTAAATTCAGATAACTACCGACCTGTTTCTGTCCTGCCTTCTTTTTCAAAGATATTTGAAAAAATTGCATTCAATCAAATGTCCTA